CTTCTCCAACCCGTCTATCTAGATCAAATTCCAGCTATTCCGCTAACGGGCTGCGTGCTTCAGTTAAGCGGTCTATGTTTCCTTTTCTGGAAATTGCGATGGTTAATAGTACACTTACTCCAGGAGCTTGTTGTGAAAATTGAAACCAGAAAAGAGTTTTACTGTATAGCACTTGGTGTCTGCAATGGTAGGTAAACGTTATACATGCAATTGCTGTTTTTATTTTCTTTCTTCAATGAACTCCAGAAGATAAGTCTTCAGCAACAGGGACGTTCACGCTTTTGTTAAAGGCTTCACCGTCATCACATACTACAATGGTGTCTGCCTGGCACTTGGTAGGTTTGGGGGTTTTTTCCTTGTTTTTTTTTTTAAGTAGGTTCCTAATAGTTGCTTGGATGAAAGAAAGAGAAAGTAAGTTCTGAGGCATTTATTAGCCAGACAGCTTACTGTTCTCAATGGAAGTGTGAGAAGAACAGCAAATGGTAGGTCCTAAAGGTAACTTTGAAGTGACAGTGTTTTAAAATAGGGTTTTTAAAATTTTTATTTACTATGGCTGTGCTGGGTCTTCACTGCTGCGCAAACTTTTCTCCAGTTTTGGCAAGCGGGGGCTATTGTAATAGCAGATCTCTGACTTCACAGTGCAGGGTCTTCTCATCGCAGTGACTTCCTTGTGGAGCACGGGCTCTAGGACATTTGGGCTTCAGTAGTTGCGGCCCCTGGGCTCTAGAGCGCAGGTTCCATAGTTGTGGGGCATGGGCTTAGTTGCTCCTTGACATATGGGATCTTCCCAGACCAGGGACTGAACCTATGTCCCTTGCAATGGCAGGCAGATTCTTTACCTCTGAGCCACCAGAGCCCTTTGATTGTGTTTTAAAAGCTAAATGATTAATTCTGGTGGTTCTATATTTGTTCTTAGATTTTAAAAGTTCAGGCATTCATAAAATGTGTATGTTCTAGGAGAGTAAATATGAGACAATTTCTGCTCCCAGCTCTGCTTCAGACTTGGACCCAACACTTTCTTTCTCCTACCCTCAACTTTTGATCTGTGAGAAGTGACTTTTGAACCAGGGGAGTTCTTCCAGCTGTGAGACTATTATGTGGTTCTTGCCCTTAAAGATTTCATGATCTAAGGGTGTGTATTTTGGAGTTAGACCTGGATTCCTGTCTGCTATTTAATAGCAATGTAACCGTGAGCAAGTGACTCAGCTGTTTTGGAGCCCCTTTCCTTATCTGTAAAATGGTATGTTTCTCACAAGCTTTTTGCCAAGATCACTGCAGATTATTTGTATTAAGAGCTTAGCACAATACCAGATATAGAAACTCTGCTTTGAACTCAGCAAGATCCTTCCCACTTTAGGCATAGGGGTAGAAGAAAATTATTCAGGGTAATGGAGATACCAAGATGTTGAAATTGCCTTTCCTTCTCCCCTCAGTTTCTCCCCTCTTTTTTTTTTTTATTTTTTTTAAAATTTATTTATTTATTTATTTTTTATCACAACCATAGTGTATCTTTTTTTTTTTTTTTACATGTATTCCCCATCCCGGAGTTTCTCCCCTCTTAACTTCACTTGAATACAGTTCAGTTTCACACAAGCACTTTTTCCTTTCTGTACTCAAAACTGGACATAATACTGTTTCCCTGGGAAAATGGCTGATACCAAGTTTTAGCCCAGGAGAAGAAGCAGGTGAGCCTGGAACATCTCGTGCCCGACAGCAAGGAAGTGCTCAAATACGGATGGTGTGTCAAAAGGACACAGCATCCATGCAAGCTCTGTAGCTCAGTCATGTCTGACTCTTTGCAACCCTACCAGGCTCCTCTGTCTATAGGATTCTCCAGGCAAGAATACTGGAGTGGGTTGCCATTTCCTTCAGGGGATCTTCCCGACCCAAGGATCGAACCCACATCTCCTGGGTCTCCTGCGTTGGCAGGTAGATTCTTTATCACTGAGCCACCTGGAAAGCCCAAAAGGGCACAAAGTGATAGTGAAAGTTGCTCAGTCATGTCTGACTCTTTGTGACCCCATGGACTATACATGGAATCCTCTAGGCCAGAATACTGGAGTGGGTAGCCTTTCCCTTCTCCGGGGGATCTTCCCAACCCAAGGATCGAACCCAGGTCTCCCTCATTGCAGGAGGATTCTTTACCAGCTAAGCCACAGGAAGCTCCTTAAAGAGGCTCTGGCTGGTCAGTTTGGTATGATTTTGAGCATGAAAAGTTGATAGTAACAGATGATTAAAACATTGAAAAACAACCTAAATGAGATTTTTTTTAAAAAGAGAGTAGGGGTTTCCTTTACAGAGTATGCCAAATGAGTAACATGGATGAATGAATGATAGAATTAGAAAAATCACCACTTTGCAGCAGTAACTAATTCAGGTAAGGATCATCATGGATGCTAAAACCATTGTTGTGATGTCATTGTGAATAGGAAAATCATACAGTCTCAAAGTATCACTCCATAGATTGTTGTTTTTTTTTTTTAATATTTATTCATTCATTCTTTTATTTGGCTGTCTTAGTTGTGGTCTTAGTTGTGGCATGCAGAATCTTTAGTTGCAGCATATGGGATCTAGTTCCCTGACCAAGGATTCAGTTCAGGCTCCCTGCATTGGGAGCTCAGAATCTTAGCCACTGGATCACCAGGGAAGCCCCCATAGATTGCTTATTAATTATAAAGGAAAAGAATACTTTAACAGTGGAGAAATCTAACAGATACTCACTTAACACTTGGAAGCACCAATGAGACAAACTGACATTACATGTGAACAAAAAATGTTGCCTGCCTGCCATATCAGAAAAAAGATCTTGTGACCATCAAGCAGTCAGCCACTATAGTTGCCTCTAAGGGTCTCTGGCCATCAAACCAGGACAACCTCTGTAGCCATCCCCAGAGGTGAACCCCGAGGGAATTCAGGAAGGAAAAGAACAGGATACTGGCCATAGACAGTCAAGGTGCATAGCAAAAGAGTGAAAAGAAGGAAAAAAAAAGAGCACTAAATTCATAAACTCGAGAGGTCTAGTGCTTTGCTGTAAGTTTATCTTTTCGCTGAGGCTTGTGGGAATCTTAGTTCCCTAACCAGCGATGGAAATTGCATCCACTACATTGGAAGCATGGACTCTTAACTGATGAATCACCAGGGACGTCCTGAGAAGTCTAATTAATGATAATCTTTGATGGTCTGATTTTTTAAAAATATTTATTTATATTTATTTATTTGGCGGCACAGGGTCTTAGATATGGCAAGTGGGATCTAGTTCCCTGACCAGGGATCAAACCCAGGGCCCCAGCATTGACAGCTCAGTCTTAGCCACTGGACCACTAGGGGAGTCCCTGACTGCTTGATTTTTGTCACAAAAACTCTCTAGGCTCCTCCCTTACCTCTTCAGAGCAGTCCTTCAGAGTCATTTGAGAGGCTGTCTTCCGGGTTTTTAAGTCCTCTGCAAGTCTGCCAAATCAAACATAATTCTCAACTTTTTGTTGTTGTTGCTGTCGCGTCCGACTCTTTGCAACCCCATGAACTGCAGCATGCCAGGCTTCCCTGTCCTTCACTATCACCCAGAGTTGGCTCAAACTCATGTCCATTGGGTTGGTGATGCCATTCCACCATCTCATCCTGTTGCCCCCTTCTGCCCTCAATCTTGTGTATTTTTCAGCCAACATATACTTCTTGATGATATGCCACGAGAAGTACACAATATCCTACATCACATTCTTCCCAGAAATGCCTAACCTACAACTAATGATGAGGAAATGTACAGAAACACTCAGACAAACCCAGATTGTGAGATACTCTTTTATTCATTTTTTTTTCTCTTTTATTAATTTGAGCTGGACTCTTCAAAAAATACCAAGTCATCTAAGACAAGAGTATTCTTCTGATTTGAAGGAGACTAAAGGGGCATGACAATTAAATACTATGTGTGATTCTTAATGGTTTCTGGATTGAGGAAACAATAATCAGTTGTAAGGAATATTGTTGGGACAACTAAGGAAATTTGAATATGAAAAACTGAATTTTAGCTATTCCACTAATGTTAAGTGTCTTAGGTGTCTTGGCTATATAGAACATAACCATAGGGATAAAATCTCACCTGCAATTGACTTTCAAGAGTCAGCAAAGACAACAATGATATGTACTTGAACAAACTCATATTTGCAAGCAGGTAGGGAGATCAAGTATAGTGAGCGAAATGTTAAAAACTGGTAAACCCAGATAGAGTACATACATAAGGGCTCACTGTGTTAATGTCTTAACCTTACTGAAGGTTTGAAATTTTCAAAATCCCTTCTTCCAGGAGCTTGCACTGATTAAACAGGGCAAGGAGACAGTATGCTCTTTCCCCATTGACCACATCTCTGCACATTCAGCTTCTCACTTTAATTAACCACCCCAGCCCTGGCTTCCAACAAACAGAATTTCTGAGCGTAAAAAGGGTAAAATAATGTTCACTTTATTAAAAATATAATCCAGCAATGGAAGCAAAGACAATCATGGTCACTTTTCCACCCTGGTCACACAGGGGAGGTGGCAGGGCTGTTTTCAGGACCCTCGCCTCCTCCGACATCTCTACAGTAATCCTCAGTTTTGTCAGAAATTTTGTCACTGGGGACACAGGGCCACCAAGGAGCTTAACTTCTTGTTGCCTTTGCTCAAGTAAGCGCTCTGAGTCCTGTTTTCCAGTTGTCTTGTTTCCACACTCACGGCCCCTTTTCCTTTTCCCATCCCAATTCCTACATTTAATCACACACATCTCAGTGGGAACGAGGAGGCTTTATTACAAATGCAGTTGACTGCTTAGGACTCCCTCTGCAATTTTTCTTTTCTACTCTCTTTTTCTCAATATATCCCTCCAGGGCAGGTCAGTAGGCCATTAGGAAAGAGGAATACAGGGAGAATGAAAAGGAGCAATGCTCTCTCCAAAATCATCTGAAATAACCATCGAGTCCTCTTGGCTCCAGCTTGAGAATCTTCTGGTGGAAAAGGTGTGAGATTCAGAATTAGCTCTTATCTTCAAGGTCCTCCATATCTACATCCTGGGGGGGGGTTGTCTTCTTTTTTGATTTGGGCTGTGGGTCACTAGTCCTGGTTGGCTTGGGAGGGGCTTCCACTGAACAAAGGAAAAGAAGAAGCATTAAAGAACCAGAATGAATCCAGGCTGCATCACCCCAACTTCTGGGCCCTAGCCTCACCTTCCATGGCTGCTTTCTCTTTCTGGGCAAGTCGGATCTGCTGGAGGAGTTTTCTGCGCTTCTTCCCAGACAGAGTAATGTTGGCACGTGCACTGGACCTAAAAGGTTGGTAGGAGCAAAAATACCAGATGAATCTGAACCAAAACAGACCACAGTGGTTCTGATTACTGAAAAGGTCTTTGGATCTAAGTTAAAGAACTGTTGTTACCTTACTGAAAACTAACCTTAACACATACAGAAAGTAACACTAATTGCTAAAATTTAGTATAGAGGGGAAACTTTCCCTCCTCTCATTCTCGATACTTCTGCCACCAGGTATAGTAGGTTTTCCCACATCAAGTAATTCTCTGTATTTGTAGTGGACAAGGACTGGGCATCCTACAAGTTTAATTTGATTTGGACAGTGTATACCTGGAGATGGCATCAGGCATCACAGGTTAAGGGCTTGGTTCCACAGGGTTCCCCCACTTCAAATACCAATCACAAATCCAGGTTGTCACCTAGACTTCTGATTGACCAGCCATAAACTGGGGTTCTCATGATCCCCTTCTCAAACTCAGTAATTTGCTAGAACAGCTCACAGAACTCAGGGAAACATACTTGCATTTACTAATTTACTATAAAATACAACTCAGGAACAGTCAGATGGAAGAGAAGCATAGGGCAAGGTATGGAAGGGGCCAGAGTTCCCATGCCTTCTCCAGCTAAACCTTCTCAGCAACTCCACCTGTTCACCAATCAGGAAGCTATCAAGAGGTTTTATAGGAATCTCCAGCACCTGCCCCCTTTCCAAAGGTCAGTGCGTAGGGCTTAAATTTCCAATCCTCTAATCGCGTCTTTTGGATGACCAGCCCCACCCTAAATCACTATTAGCATAAATTTGTGCTTAGTTGCTCAGTTGTGTCTGACTCTTTGCAACCCCGTAGACTGCAGCCTGCTGGCTCCTCTGTCCACGAGGATTCTCCAGGCAAGAATATTGGACTGGCTTGCCATGCCCTCCTCCAGGGGATCTTCCCAACCCAGGGATCAAACCCAGGTATCCCGCATTGCAGGCGGATTCTTTACGGTCTGAGCCAAGAGGGAAGCCCAGCTTAAATTTAGGTATGCTCAAAAGGGGATCCTTTTGAAATAAAACGCACTCAGGAAATTCCAATGGCTTTAGCTGTCAGAAACCCGGCAGGGACCAAATATATTTATTATGACAATTCATAAAGTACATATTATCGTAAACAAGTCAGTGAAAGAATGGGATAAGAAGTCTTCCCCAAGAACCCAAGGGGCCTTGAAACTTATATGCAATATCCCACACGAGCCTTTGTGAAAATTCATCGAATGATTCACCGCACTCATGTGTACGCTTTTAAATTTACTTATAGGAAATGTGTGAATGTATAATGTTACTTGGGGAGGCTGGGGCCACAGTTCTCCTTAGATTCTCAGTAGTGTCCAAGAACCGAAGAAAGGTTGCGACTTACAGGTATAATGTGAGAGGCTAACAAAGTTTAGGCACAAACTTTCCTTGCATAAGTGTGAGTACACAAAGCAAAATGGTGTTAAGCTGCTCCGGAGCTCGACAAGGAGGGAAGGAGGCTTGATGGGAAGGACTCAGGGAGAGAGGGTCTGGCACTCACGCCCGCTTCTTGAGGTGGTGCCGCGTAATCAGTCCTTCGTCTATCACAGCTCCGACCACCCGATGCTTCAGTCGCCGCTCCCGGTTCAACACACGTCGTCGCTTGAACAGCTTCTTCTTCAGCTCCTGTGGGGAGGAAGATGCTTAATCAGAGGGCGGCCGCGCCCTGCGACCTGGGACCACGCACCCGGCGACACTGGCCCATAGACTCCATCTCGGGCGAGAATAAAGGCTCTAGGACGCTTGGGAAACCATATCGGGGGGTCCCAGAGTCACCGTTCGCGGCCGGTTTATCTTTCCACCCGGGGCACCCATAGCTGCGCCGCAAGGCCGGCTCCGGGTCCACGTTTCCGCTGTGCGCAGGGTCCGTGTGCGCCCTGCCCTCAGCTTTGTGCCAGCCAATCGCAACTCGGGGGCGGGCCCTGGCACTATATAAACGAACCCGGCTCGCACACAAGCCTTTCCGAGGGCGGCGACTGAGTGAGTGTGGCCAGGTAAGTGTGGGGATCGGACTGGTGTTCTTGTGGAGGGGGACGGTGCCTGTGGACCCTCCTTTTCTTGGCGGGGGTCGGGCGTGCAGTCCCGATCCGCGTAATGTACGGAGGTAGAGGGAACGGACTCTGGCCCCCTCGGCGTCATGTCTTCGGTACCGGCGGCCAGCAATCCGCCGGTTCTATCCTCAAGCGCCGGGACACTGAGCTCCAAGGAGCAGGGCAGAACCGAGGTTCAGCAGGCTCCTCCCGGGGGTACTCACACCTTCTCCTTTGATTTTAGGTCTGTGGAGCCACCACAAGAGCCGGAGCTGCCATATCCCCTCTTCCACTTCCCGCTGCAAACAATAAAAGGTCAATCGTACGGTACTAAGTTTGTGTCTGCGTTCTTTTTTCTGAAGCTGCAGAGGTAGGGAAGCTTTACGCGTCATTCCGCACAGAGGATTTTGCAAATCTTCACTTGGATCTCAGGCCCAGCCGGAGTACGGGCGACATTTTCACAGAAGTTTCTCTGGGCGACCTTGCCGGCACCTCCGGATGGCTGCCTTGCGCCGAACCCTCCATCTGACGAGCCTGGCGGCGGGGACGCGCCGCACCGTGGCGGGTAGGGAAGGTGGACAGTGGGAGCGCAAGCTGGGCTCTTCGTTAGCCAGGAGTCTGCTCATTGAAATTGTGCCTCTTAAAACCCCAAGGCACATGGCGCCGATTTTGATAGCAATCTGATAGAACCGGGCGCTGGGTGATGCGTGTCCTCCCCTCGTCCGCAGGTTCCCTGGCTGGCAGCTGCCTGGCAGACCGCTCCCTCTGGGATAAGCTCCATGCCCAACCCCGTCAGGGCAGCGTCCGTACCTTCGACTGGTTCTTTGGATACGAAGAAGCCCAGGGGCTCTTACTGCCGCTGTTGGAGAAGGCACGGGCTGCCTGTCCAGCCCGGGTGTTGGATGTGGGCTGTGGGACCTCCAGCTTATGTACAGGCCTCTATACCAAATGCCCGCACCCCGTGGACGTGTTGGGGGTGGACTTCTCTCCTGTAGCTGTGGCCCACATGAACAGTCTCCTGGGAGGTGGCCAAGGCCAGACACCCCTGTGCCCTGGGCACCCTGACTCAAGCCTCCATTTCGTGCAGGCTGATGGCCAGAATCTGCAGCCAGTGGCTTCCTCAGGCTCCTTCCAGCTAGTACTGGACAAGGGAACCTGGGATGCTGTTGCCCGGGGTGGTCTGCCTGAGGCTTACCAGCTGCTGGCAGAATGTTTGAGGGTCCTAAGCCCCCAGGGGACCCTGATTCAGTTCTCAGATGAGGATCCTGATGTGCGAGTGCCCTGCCTAGAGAAAGGGTCCCAGGGCTGGACTGTGACTGTGCAAGAGCTGGGCCCTTTCAGGGGCATCACCTACTTTGCTTACGTGATTCAAGGCTCTGATTAAAGATGTTTTAGGCCTGATCTGAGTGTTTTCTGTTGGGTGAGGAGGTGGAGAAAACTTTTGTCTTTGCAAGATGACTGGAAAATTTGGGTCCTGGTTTCCCCATTTATTAGATGGGAGCACCTAATACTGAATATTTCTGTGCCCCATTTACTCACCTGCAAGGCTGGAATAATACATAGTTATGTGATTACATACAATTGACAGGTAAAACATTTAGCAGTGCCAGGCACAAAATGAGTGCTAAATAGAAAAGGTACAAGTGGATTATTTCCCATCCCCAACTAGTTGAACTCTTAAAAGCACAGATGAGAATTCTTAATCCAGATTCCTTGACTATCACTGGTGTGACCCTGGGGTCTAACCTTTAAGCTTCATTTTTCTCACTTGTACATGGGGAAGACTGTGAAGGGATGGATGGAAAGGCTTCAAAAACCTAGGTAAAATGTTTGAGGGAGAAAATGATACTTACCCTCAAAGCTCCTGGGAGGCAGGAAATGGGAATATTCCACAAAGCAGCTTCTGCAGACATGGGAGCTTGATGGTGGGTCCCAGAGAGGACAGGGATTGGGGGCTTCCGGACATTCTGTGTCCTCTGGGATCCAGGAGGCATCTTGATCTACCCGTTCCTGCCCCCAGCTGAGTTCTGGGTTAAAGGTTCTTAAGGGAGACTTAGGGTCCTGGGAGCCCCAAGTCCAAGCTGGGGGTGGGGAGTTAAAGAACCCATTAACAATGAAAAATATATAATAAAAGAACAGTGAAACATACCTGGTACCTGACTGGATTTTTTTTTTAAGGTAAATTTGTTTAATACTTTTTACTTATAAAAATAATACAGCAATTGAAATGAGCCTAACTATCCCACAAGCTGTGTGGCACGGCGGCCAAAAAAAAAAAAAAATGCATCAACTTTGCCAGTCAACTTGACCATTTTCATTTCTTTGGCCAAGCTGCATGGCACATGGGATCTTAATTCTACTGATGGGGCTTGAACCTGCGCCCTCTCCTCCTCCCCAAGGTGGAAGCTCAGAGTCCCAACCACTGGATCTGGACTTGGACCATCAAGAAAGTACCTCAGCCACCTTGACTTTTATCTCCCACCTCTACATTTCTCTTCACGATGTTTACTGAGCACCTACTGTGTGCTGCTTAATGCAGGGGACACAACTAAGTTGTCCCTCTTGTTCTGCTTAGAACATTCAGTTCACAACAGCCCCGTTTGAACGAGCCTCCTCCCTCACCTGGTTCTTCACTTTGGTCCTGGAAGAACACCTCAACCTCCTCTTCCTCATCGCCAGTCAGCAGCAGCAGCTCCTCGTGTGGCCACCGGAGCTCCCCACTCTCTTCACTCACCTCAGAGGCTTCCACCACAATGGAGGGGAGGCGGGTCTGCGGACACACAACCTGGATGGGCACAGCGGGGGAACTGGGCCAAAGTGGAGGATGAACCAACAGCAGGACACAAGGTGGGAAAGTACTAACCTGAACATCCTGGTGACCTTCAACCCTGTCAATTTCTCCTCTGTTCTTCCAAAGCGGGTTGGTCAGTCTAGGACTTTCTGGATGCTGGGAAGAGCCTGGGCTATCTCTAGGCCAAGGCCCATCCTCACTGCTCCCTGGCACAAGGGCCATGGGTGCTGATTCTAGAACATAGGGCAGTTGGACTCAGAGTGTTCCTGCCCAGTGCACCCCACAGACTGCTCCTCTAATCGCTTTGGAGCCGAGCCCCTTAATCACTTCTGAGGAGAGGCTGACGTGCAAGGAGATTATGGGTCTTCCAGGGGAGGGCACAATCCCAGGAGGTGGGAAGAAGTGAAGTGCTAGTTGCTCAGTCATGTGAGACTTTGTGACCCTCATGGACTGTATAGCCTGCCAGGCTTCTCTGTCCATGGGATTCTCCAGGCAAGAATACTGGAGTGGGTAGCCATTTCCTTCTCCAGGGGATCTGAGCCACCAGGGGAGCACACTCACTCTGGTGACACAGGGAAAAGCAGGAGGAGTAGGAGTTAAGGAGGGCAGTTGGATTAAAGCCCCGTGAGTAAAGAGCTTTGATAATGAGTTTGAAATTTCCTGATTCTTACAGGGTCTCCCAAATTGACATGTTTCTTGGTAACTTATTTAATGAATATTTATATAGTGTCAACCAAAAAAAAAAAAAAAAGGCACAATGTGACAGTTGTTAGTAAAGTTTTATTTGGAGCAAAATGAAGACTGCAGCCCAGGAGACAGTCCCTCACGTCTGAGAGACTGCTCCAAAGAAGCAGCGGGGAAAGTCAAAATAAATGATTTTGGTGAAGGGGGAGTTCAGTGCAATCAGGCACTCATTTTATAAAAGGTTTTCTGCTAGTCAGGAGCAGGAGCTGACATCACCATGAAGGGATTTAGTGCTTTTCTAGATATGAGGAGGTGCGAGAAATGAGATCATGAAATCAGTTCCTGAAAATATTGAACTATCTAAAAGACCTGTTCCACCAGTTTCCCTGGGGCACAGAGTGCCTCACTCTCCACCCTGAATTCCCTTTAGGGAGTGTCGAGGTCAGCAGCTGCAGCAACACAGGCAGACGGCGAGTGCCCTTCTTGTTTTTGTTCATTCAGCTCAGTCGCGTCCGACTCTGTGACCCCATGGACTGCAGCACACCAGGCTTCCCTGTCCGTCACCAACTCCTGAAGCTTGCTCAACCTCACGTTGATTGAATCAGTGATGCCATCCAACAGTGATTGTTGCTGTTCAGTCACTGGCAAATGCTCTTGGCAAGTGCCAATCTGTAGATCTGTAGTTGATACCAGGAACTGTTTTAAATGCTTTTCATATAAATTGTTTAATTATCCTAAAATTGTGAGATGCTGTTGGTCAACTGCTAAGTCATGGCTGACCCTTTGTGACCTCATGGACTGCAACATGCCTGGCTTCCCTGTCCTTCACTATCTCCCAGGATTTGCTCAAATTCATGTCCATTGACATGTCCATATGCACTGTTATTAGCCTCATTTTCCGATGCAGAAACCAGAAAACAAAGAACTTAAATGACTTATCCAGAGTCACACAACTAAGAGGTGTTTTCTTCACCAAACTAGAATTCGGTAGGTTACCCAACATCCATGGTTTTCATGGTTAAAAAAAAAAGCCAAGATTATATACCTTAAAGAGAAAGGCAACTTTTGCTTTTACCAAGTAAAATAAAAGGAAAACGTATATCCTTTTCCCCATCCAGTACACTTGGTTTTTCAGTTTTTGCTCAGGATTGAAGAGACTGAAGAGAGTCAACAGACTGATGTTTATAAACACGTGGACGTCCATTACATAATGCAGTTTCGATAAAGCACAAGTAATCCTAGGAAACTACAGAGCTCAGGCTTAGCCCTCTATTGATCTGGAGCTTCCGGAACTGGGCAACTGTAAAACTCACAGTAACCATGAAGACACTCTCCCGTTAGCAATCCTACTCGGGATTTCATGACAAGGGGTCCCACCCTAAGCCCTGGGTCCCAACACCTCTAGATGCGCTCAACCTTCTCAGCTAAACTTATTAAGACCTAGATGCTTCAGATTCGAAACGTCTCTGGTTAGGTCCTCTCTAGCCCGGGCCCGTCTCTATGGTTTCTTGTGTGGGGCGCTCTAGCCTGCGCAGATTGAGACGTCGCGGCGGCCTTGCTAGGCTACTGGAGGCTCCCGAGGTCGCCTCGCTGGTCACGCGGTCGCCCATGGAGAACCTGCACAAGTTGCTGCTCGCGGGCGCAGTGCTGGGCGCCGGGGCTGGCGTGGGCACCGCGCTCTTTGCCCTTGTGACCCCGGGAGAGGAGCGGAAGCAGGCGATGCTGAAGGTGGGAGCCGTTGGGGAGGCAGCGGGGGGGTGGGCGGGCGAAGAGGAGGCTGGTGGCCGGGGCTGCGAACCACTCTTTCCGCCCGCAGGAGATGCCGGAGCAGGACCCGCAGCGCAGGGACGAGGCGGCCAGGACCAAACAGTTACTGCTGGCCACTCTGCAGGAAGCAGCGGCCACGCAAGAGAACGTCGCCTGGAGAAAGAACTGGATGAATGGTGGCGGCGGGAAGTCAGCCTGAGACAGAATCTGCCCGCCTGGGTGCCGGGATTTATGCTGCAGCGCAGGCGCCCAAGCCGGCCTGACTTCTCCGTGGGCCGGCGGGGAGTCCAGACCCGGATCCCAAGCGCAGGCCTCTCCGCGACTTGGGGAGCTGCCGCCGGGTGAGCGCGCTCTCTCCCAAAGTTTGCACGGACTACGTTTTAACGTCCACATCGCGGGCTGTGGCTAACTGAAGGAATCAATAAACCATGTTCCTCCATCCAGAGAGTGAGCCCTGCGGTTGGACGCCCATAAAAGCCAAGTGTTCTGCGGGTCGGTGCTGCGGCCTGGCTGGAGTGCGGCTGCCGCCTGCCACGCCCGCCCCATGTGAGGCTGAATCCCAATCGACATTTTCAAAACACAAGTCAGGTCCTGTTGTTTGTGGGAGTGGATAACCAAGTGACGTTCTTGAGATTATAACTAGCCTGGAAACTCTTGTGCAATAAACACCCATAGAGGACACTTTGGGTTCCTGTCTTTCGAATGAGGTTGGAGAGGGGCTTCTAGCAACTAGCATGTGCCATACCCTCTTTGGTCTTAAGTTTTGGAGGCCACTGTGGAACTAAAACGCAGCGTACTGAGACAGATCTTGTTTCAACTCCTGTATGTTACGAAACCTCTCTAAGCCTCAGTCCTCCTGTTCCATGCATGCTAAGTCACTTAAGTCCTGACTCCGCGACCCTATGGACTGTAACCCAGCTGTCCATAGGATTCTCCAGACAAAAATACTGGAGTGAGTTGCCATTTCCTTCTCCAGGGGATCTTCCCAACCCAGGGACCAAACCTGCATCTCTCTTACATCTCTTGCAGTGGTGGGGGTGTTCTTTGCCACTCGGGCCACCTGGGAAGTCCTGATCATAAAGGTGCCAATTATCTTGAGAATTGTGGTCAAAAGGTGAACTTAGGAATGTAAGTGCCAGGCACAGGGCAGTCTCTCACTAAATGCACTGGGGCTTTCCTCTCATAAGGTGTTCATTGCAGTGGTTTTCAGTCTCTGAATCTGGTCATAGAATCTACTGGAGATGCCACTGATGGGATGAGGTAAAGCTGTCAGCGGGGTGGCAGCCCCACAGCCGAGTCAGTAAGTTCACTCTCATTTTTATTTTTCCATCGTGTGGTTCCAAACTATTGCAACGGTGGGGTGCAGGGGAGGCTGTTTTCATTAAAGCTGAAACACTACATAAAGCTTGGTAACACTGAGGTCTGATCCCACATATGAGCAGTGGTGTGGTTTTGTGCTTCTAGGTTGTGAAGTCAAAAACAATTTGTCACGTGTGATCTTTTAAGTTTAGTTGTGGCCTCTTTCCTAGCCAAGGTATGAGAGGAAGGAGGCAGCTGCTTGAGGGAGCATGAGGATGAGGTGAGCAGCAACAGCAAGAGAGGCTAGAATGCAGGAGCCTAGCGGTTCAGAGCCTGAGCCTGAAAGTCAGGCTCCCCAGGAGTGTGTGCAGGTTCTACTACTTGCTACCTGTGTCAGTCTGAACAAGTCATGTGCTTTCATGTCCCAGTCTCTAAAATGGGATAATTGTACCCACTGCTAGACAATACTGCCTTCATATCTCAGTTAATACATATATAGTACTTAAAACTGTGTACTACATATTAAGTACTCAATACTTTTTGTGAATGACCACATGTTAAAAACTACACTTCTAGTAGATAGTAACTGGGGACTCGTTAGGTGTCATGCACTGTGCTAAAGCATTACGTAACCCCCACAACCCCAAATAACAGGTACTATTATCCAGATTTTACTAAAGAAGAAACTAGACTTAAGAAGTCAAGGCACATAGCCAGTAAAGATTTCAAGCTTAGGTACTGTCTTACTCATAGAGCAAAAAGTGCTATCCAATGTACGCCCCCACTTTAACCTTCCAGTTAACCTCGCAGGCAACTAATCAGACCCGGAGATTAGAAACAAGTCTCCCTTGGAAATTTAAGATAAAGCATAGTGTCTATTCTGAAAGCCTTCTTTGTCTCTCCCAGCCATTCAGGAAGGAGTCAGGTACATACAGAACTCAAGAGAGTCTATTTATTAAGAAGGCAATGTCAGTGCTTTATCAAACATGAAGAGAGGTCAGAGAGGGATGGTGGGATAAAGGCCTCTCAGCCAGGACATTTCTTGGCCACAATGAGGACAGCAGAAGGCACAAGTCCTGAAGATGGAAGAAAACAGATTTGAACCCAAAGATATCTGCTTCGCCCCACCGCCCCATATTCTGCCCTCACACCATCTCTATACAAAGTCCCTTCTTTGCATCCCTTCTCTTCTCAGCTTCCCCTATCCCCCATGTCCTGGTTTCGGATCCCACGTGTCATACCCAGCTCCTGCAGAGGCCGCTCCATGTCAGCCTCTGAGAAGGCCCGCCGGGGGAAGCCACTGAGCAATTGCACAGGGTCCTGGCCCCCGCCTGGCTCCTCCCCACGGTGGAGCTCCACGTAGAGCCGCACAGCTGCCAGCTGTTCCCGCGCCCGGAAGGTCTGGGTCAGTGAGGTCCCATCCGGCAGCCGGACCTAGAAGGCAAGAGAAAGATACTGTATTGTGAGCGTCATAACTGAGTTAGGCGCCCAAGTAAGGAAAAAGAGCAAAGTTGGCTTCTCCTTCCACTTCCTGGTCCTTCTCCTGGACCAGGAAAATTACTATTGAAAACACCTAATGAACAACCACTTAGAATGCACTTTACTCAGCAAGCACCCCTGGCTCCCTCACAATTTAAAGAAAACATAATACAAAATTATATAAAACATCTGGACAGATACCACATCATGCAAACAGATACATAATCTAAATGAAAACACTATGAACAAGTAAAAAGGGAACTGCTGAGTAAGAGAGAGGTATGGGTTTAAATAAGACTGGGGCAAGTGAAATTTGATATCTTCCCTCAGAGCAGAGGAGGTAGGATTTCAAAAGTCATTTACAAAGAAGGGAGAGGTTTGGCAAAAGGAACATAACTGAAAAAAGCTCTGGGCTGGGCTCGGCTGGGTGCCCTGTAAGCCAACAAAGGGTCTCAGGAGCAAGACTGGAATCCGAATCAGTACCTGTATGCGACACTGGTCATACTCCCGCTTTGTGGGAGGCTCCCGGCTGGGAGAGGAGGGAACAGGGCCTGGCTCTGCTGCTGGTGGGGATGGCTGAGAACCCACATTGCCACCATACTAGAAGACAAAGTTCAGTAATCAAGCACTCAGCCCATCCTTGCCCTCTGAAGCTAGAAAAGGGGATTTACTGCCCCCCCCCCCCCACTTCACTATCCTGGGTTTCCACCCAATCACCTACCTTCTTGGCTCTCTCTGCTTTGTCCCTTTCGATCTTTTCTCGGACTCTTTGTCTGGAATGCAAACAGGACACAAGGAGGTCAGACATTGACAAAGCAAATCCTGATTCCTTTCCCATGTCTTAGCCAGACCCATGTCCCAGAACCCAGACCTGGCTGCTAACTCTTCAGCCTTCTCCCTCTTCCGCTCTTCAGCAGCTCGGCGCATCTCGTCTTCCTGTAGCCTCTGTCGGGCAGCTGACAACTCCTGCCCTTGTCTCCTGCGCTGCCGTTCCCGTTCCAATGCCTCCCGCTCCTCTCTTTCTTCACGCTCCCGCTGCTTCTGGGCCACCAGCTCCAACATCCTATGTTGCAGAAAGGAAACCATTCAAGAGACATGTATATAAATTGGGAAAGTGAGTTTATAACAAGGGACTCAGAAAACAAAATCCAAGAACAGAGTCCCAAAACAGATAAAAAAAAAAACAAAGAAGGAAAAGGCCAAGAAAAAACAATGTGGTAAGTGAGAGTTCTTTGACCAGATTTGTGTACTGGGGAGAGGTGGAAAGTGACTCTCAGAAATGTGAGCTTGTTCTTCCTACCTCTTGGTCTGTTCCTGTCTTTCCTCTTCAGTCAAAACAGGTTTGCCTTCTCCCACTGCAGACCCAGGTCCTACGTACAAACAATCAGTATTATTACCCTTTCATCCTCCTCCCCGGGCCCTCCTGAATAATCACACTGTTTTCCTCAGTCAGGACCTTTGGGGCCACCTTGCTCCGAAGGGGTGGGTTCCCGTCCCAGCACATGTCCAAGGGGGGTGGCTAGTGGCTCATCCACATCGGGGTCGTCTTCGTGCTCCATCAACCTGGCAGAGAAAGTCAGGAGCGAGGTTAACGTTCAGGCTGCCCTCTCAGCAGTTCCCCGGCCCCTGCCACCGGTCTGAGTGCTCACCAGTCCATCGCAGCCTCGATGCCCTGGTTCCCTGTGAGGGCCAGAGCCTTCTCCCTGAGGGCAGAAACACCGTGAGTAGCGCCCACGAGCCATGGAGACGATTAGGCTGGGGCGTAGAGCCTGAGGCCAGACTGGGGTAAAGGCCTGGACAGATGCGCGACCCCCGCGGCCCTGGGTTAGGGGGCTCCCTTACGCGCGTCCCTTGGGGAAGCCCATCTCGATGAGACTCTCCAGAGCCGTCAGCTCCGCCATGACGCCGCCACCGCCGCTTCCGCGGGGACCTGGGGAGAGGGGGGAGTGAAGACGGCGAAGGGGGTCAGCGCGACGCGCCTCCCACCAGCGCCCAACCCTGCCCGCGACGGCCCCGGCCGGGTGCTTGCTCACTCACCGGCTGCTGACCAGCCGCGGACACCTACGAGAAGAAAGCCTAGGCGAGGCGGAAGTGCCCGAATCTGTTTGGGTCACGTGGAGGCGGGCGTGGACGGGTGCCGCCGAGTGCCAGAAAACGCCGGCCTGGCCCTGCTGAGGGAACGCGAATGGGCGGTGCCTGGGAGTCGCATTCTAGGAGGCAGCCCCCATCCCCCAGGCCAAGTCCGGGCGTCCGTTGGTGCTAGAGAAAAAGGACGACGCTGTCTTGAAACCCATGGGCGAATGAAAACAGCTCCCCAGATGGCCCCAAAACGCACCGCAAGCAGTGTTTATCAGGAGCCCCAGAAATGTATGCACCCTTTGACCTATTCATCCTCTCCGAGGAATTGAGCCATCCTCCGCTCGACTGCCACAAGGGATCTTTGCAAAACGCAGTAACTGATCTTGTCATCACCTCCCGGGTTAAGACTTCTCCATGACAGCTCAGTCACCTAAATGGCTTCCTTCTACCATCTCTTGTTAATTCTCCATCTGCAAAGTGAGGATAACAATAGCACCAACCTTAGGTGTCTGGCAAGCTGCACAGGGTAAAGGTAGTTAGCACGGAGTTCATGTGTCACTGCTTGAGGGTAGCTTGTGCAGATTGCAAAACAGACCTGTTCTTTCTCTTTTGGCAGCATGACATGTGGGATTTTAATTCCCGGACCAGAGATCAAATTTGCATTCCTCTGATGAAAGTGCCTCAGCTTAACCACTGAACCACGATGGAAGCTCCTGCGGTTTGCATTCTAAGGAAAGCGTGCTTTGACCACCCCATCTCTATCTCCCAGCACCAGTATTTTCTCTATTAGCATTTGTCCCCCTGCTGTGTAGTCTTGTTGATTACTTAGCTCTCCACTGCTAGCTAGTCTGTTAGGTCGCCTAAGTTAAAACTCACTTTTATTTTCCTTATTTGTTTATATGACCAAGTCATACAGCTTGTGAGATCTCATTTCCCCACCAGGGAGCTAACCTGTGCCCCCTGCAGTGAAAGAACAGAGCCTTAACCACTGGACCACCAGGGAAGTCCCTAAAACTTACTTTTAAATGTTTATTAGAGGCAGGCTAATAATAAGTTGCTCATATTGATAATAGATGCACTAGAGAATTTTATATGGTTAATTAATATTTAATCATCCCAACAATCCATATGATGTAGATATTATTAGTAGTCACAGGAAATAAGCACAGAAGAATGAGCTAATTTACCAAAGGTGACAGAGCTGGTAAAGTAGGAGAGCTAGGATTCAGACCCATGCAGTGTGCGATATAAAACGGCTAAGCTGTGCTGTCTCTCTGTAGTGGAGTCAAGAGCATCAGCTTTTGATGCAACTTGGGCTGAAATCCTGACTTGTAGCTTCAAAGTGTTTAGAACCTCAAGCTTGCTTCTCATTTGTGAAAAAGTGACACCATCTCTTGGAATGATTGTGATAGGAATTAAGTGAGAATGTATGTAAAGCGTGTCTTCATGGTTTTTTGGTTTTGTATTTTTGGCTTTGCTGCACAAGGCATGTGGCATGTGGGATCTTAGTTCCCTGACCAGGGATCGAAGCTGTGCTCCCTGTGGTGTAAGTGTAGGATCTTAATCACCGGACTACTAGGTAAGTCTCTAAAGTGAGTCTTTAATAATAAGATAGTAGGTAAGAAAAATTATGAAAAAAATGAGGGAGTAGACCCTCATTATTTGTAAAATAATTTGGGAAAGACTCTGATGCTGGGAAAGACTGAAGGCAGGAGGAGAAGGGGATGACAGAGGATAAGATGATTGGATGGCATCACCAAATTTGATGGATATGAGTTTGTGTCAGCTCCAGGAGTTGGTGATGGACAGGGAAGCCTGGCGTGCTGCAGTCCATGGGGTCGCAAAGAGTTGGACATGACTGAGCAACTAAACTGAACTGAAATGCTGAGGAAATACAGGAATCAAAAATACACAAAGAATTTGTGGCAATGTGGTGAGTATATTCTAGATGCAAATGTATTCTAAATTTATTCTAGAGTTCCAATAAGAGAAAAATGACGAGGGACTTCCTGGTGGTCCAGTGGTTAAGACTCTGTGCTCCCAATGCAGGGGGCATTGGTGCGATCCGTGGTCAGGAACTAAAATTCCACATACCACAGAACATGGCCCCCTAAAAAAAAGAATATTTTTTTAAAAAGGGATATCTTTTTTTGGTGTTAGTTCTAGAAGGTCTTGTAGTTCTTCCTGCTGCTGCTGCTAAGTCGCTTCAGTCGTGTCCAACTCTGTGCAACCCCGTAGACAGCAGCCCAGTAGGCTCTGCCATCCCTGGGATTCTCCAGACAAGAACACTGGAGTGGGTTGCCATTTCCTGCTCCAATGAAGGAAAGTGAAAAGTGAAAGTGAAGTCGCTCAGTCGTGTCTGACTCTTCATGATCCCATGGACTGCAGCCTACCAGGCTCCTCTGTCCATGGGATTCTCCAGGCAAGAGTACTGGAGTGGGGTACCATTGCCTTCTCCATGTAACTCTTCCTAGAACCATTCAATTTCAGTTTCTTCTGCATTAGTGGTTGGGGCATAGACTTGGATTACTATGATGTTGAATGGTTTGCCTTAGAAACAAACTGAGATCATTCTGTTATTTTTGAGATTGCACCCAGTACTGCATTTCAGATTCTGTTGTTGATTGTGAGGGCTATTCCATTTCTTCTAAGGGATCCTTGACCACAGTAGCAGATCTAATGGTCATCTGAATTAAATCCTCCCATTTCCGTGTTAGTTAACTGATTCCTAAAATATCAATGTTCACTCTTGCCATCTACTACTTGACCATGTCCAATTTACCTTGATTCATGGACCTAACATTCCAGGTTCCTGTGCAATATTGTTCTTTACTGCATTGGACTTTACTTTCATGACCAGACATATCCACAACTGAGCTTCGTTTCTGCTTTTGCTCAACTCTCTTTCTGGAGCTATTTATCCCCTCTTCCCCAGTAGCATATTGGACACCTACCAACCTGGAGGGCTCATCGTCCAGTGTCATATCTTTTTGTCTTTTAATAGTGTTCATGGGGTTCTCGAGGAAAGAATACTGGAGTGGTTTGTCATTCCTGTGTCCTTTTCATCATAGGTTATTGGAATGCAAAAGTAGGAAGTCAAGAGATATTTGGAGGGACTTCCCTAGTGGTCCAGGGGCTGGGACTCCCTGCACCCAATGCAGGGGGCCCAGGTTTGATCCCTGGTCAGGGAACTAGATCCTATATGCTACAACTAAGACCCAGCGCAGCCAAATAAAATAAATGTTTGTGTTTTTTTTTTAAAGAGAGAGATACCTGGAGTAACAGGTAAACTTGACCTGGGAGTACAAAATGAAGTGGGGCAAAAGCTAACAGAGTTTTGTCAAGAGAACACACTGGTCATAGCAAACACCCTCTTCCAACAACACAAGAGATGACTCTACACAGGATCATCACCAGATGGTCAGACTGAAATCAGATTGATTATATTCTTTGCAGTTGAAGATAGAGCAGCTCTATACAGTCAGGAGAAGGCAATGGTACCCCATTCCAGTACTCTTGCCTGGAAAATCCCATGGACAGAGGAGCCTGGTGGGCTGCAGTCCACGAGGTCACTATGAGTCGGACATGACTGAGCGATTTCACTTTCACTTTCATGCATTGGAGGAAGAAATGGCAATCCACTCCAATGTTCTTCCCTGGAGAATCCCAGGGAGGGGGGAGCCTGGTGGGCTGCCATCTATGGGGTCTCACAGAGTCAGACACAACTGAAGTGACTTAGCAGCAGCAGCATACAGTCAGCAAAAATAAGACCAGGAGCTAACTGTGGCTCAGATCATGATCTTCTTATTGTAAAATTCAGGTTTAAATTGAAGAAAGTAGGGAAAACCACTAGACCATTCAGGTATGACCTAAGTCAAATCTCTCATGATTATACAGTGGAGGTGACAAATAGAATCAAGGGATTAGATCTGGTAGACAGAGTGCCTGAAGAACTATGGATGGAGGTTCGTGACATTGTACAGGAGGCAGTGATCAAGACCACCCCCAAGAAAAAGAAATGTGAAAAGGCAAAACGGTTGTCTGAGGAGGCCTTACAAATAGCTGAGAAAATAAGAGACCTGAAAGGCAGAGGAGAAAAGGAAAGTTATATTCATCTGAATGCAGAGTGCCAGAGAATGGCGAGGAGAGATAAGAACACCTTCTTATGTGAACAGTGCAAAGTAATAGAGGAAAACAATAGAATGGGAAAGATTAGAAATCTCTTCAAGAAAATTGGAGATACCAAGGAAACATTTCATCCAAGGATGGCCAAAATAAAGGACAGAAATGGCAAAGACCTAACAGAAGCAGAAGAGACTAAGAATATGTACAAGAATACACAGAAGAACTATACAAAAAAGGTCTCAATGATCCAGATAAACATGATGGTGTGGTCACTCACCTAGATACTACAGACATCCTGGAGTATGAAGTCCAGTGGGCCTTAGGAAGATTACTATGAACAAAGCTAATGAAGGTGACAATTCCAGCTGAGTTAAAATCCTGAAAGATGATGCTGTTAAAGTGCTGCACTCAATATGTCAACAAATTTGGAAAACTCAGCAATGGCCACAGGACTGGAAAAGATCAGTTTTCATCCAATTCCAAAGAAAGGCAATGCCAAAGAATGTTAAAACTATTGTACAATTGTGCTCATTTCACATGCTAGCAAGATAATGCTCAAATTCTTCAAGTAAGGCTTTAGCAGTATGTGAACTGAGAACTTCCAGATGTGCAAGCTGAATTTAGAAAAGGCAGAGGAACCAGTGATCAAACTGCCAACATCTGTTGGATCATAGAGAAATCAGGGGAATTCCAGAAAAACATCAAAAATCATCACTTCCATTTGACTGACTACACTAAAGCCTTTGACTGTGTGGATCACAACAAACTGTGGAAAATTCTTCAAGAGATGGGAATACCAGACCACCTTACCTGTCTCCTGAGAAACCTGTATGCAGGTCAAGAAGCAACAGTTAGGACTGGACATGAAACAATGGATTGGTTCAAAATTGGAAAAGGAGATTGTCAAGGCTGTGTATTGTTACTCTGCCTATTTAACATATGTAGAGTACTGTGCCATGCTTAGTCATTCAGTTGGTCATTCAGTCATTCAGTCAGTCAGAGTCATCTGACTCTTCGAACCCATGGATTATAGCCCACCAGGCTCCTCTGTCCTTGGGGATTCTCCAAGCAAGAATACTGGAGTGGGTTGCGATGCCCTCCTCCAGGGGATCTTCCCAACCCAGGGATTGAACCCAGGTGTCCTGCATTGAAGGCGGATTCTTTACCATCTGAGCCATCAGGGAAGCCTGGTGCAGAGTACATCATGCAAAATGCCAAGCTGGAATCAGGAGTTCTGGGGGAAATATCAACAACCTCAGATATGCAGATGATAGCACTCTAATAGCAGAAAGTGAAGAGGAACCAAAGAGCCCCTTGATGAAAATGAAAGAGGAGAGTGAGGAAGCTGGCTTAAAACAACATTCAAAAAACTAAGATCATGGCATTCAGTCCCATCACTTCATGGCAAACAGATGGGGGAAAAGTGGAAACAATGACATTTTATTTTCTTAGGCTCCAAAATCACAGCAGACTGCAGCCATGAAATTAAAACGTGCTTGCTCCTTGGAAGGAAAGCTATGACAAACCTAGATAGCGTATTAAAAAGCAGAGACTTTGTCGATGCTTTCGAATTGTGGTGCTGAAGACTCTTTAGAGTCCCTTGGAATGCAAGGAGATCAAATCAGTCAATCCTAAAGGAAATCAACCCTGAATATTCATTGGAAGGACTGATGCTGAAGCTGAAGCTCCAATACTTTGGCCACCTGATGCGAAGAGCCGACCCACTGGAAAAGACCCTGATGCTGGGAAAGTTTGAGGGCAGGAGGAGGGGGCAACAGAGGATGAGATAGTTGTATGGCATCGTCAACACAATGGACATGAGTTTGAGCAAACTCTGATAGATAGTGAAGGACTGAGAGGCCTGGTGTGCTGCAGTCCATGGGGTCATAAAGAGTTGGATATGACTTAGTGACTGAACAACAACAAAAAAAATGACTAAATTGTATAGTACTATCTCTCTCACTTACTTCTGGATAAGTACCCTGTGGAAATACTTAATCATGTGATGATATGCCAACAAACAAGGATGTCCATAGCAAACAGTAAAGACAAATGTTCTAACAAGGAGCCATGGGAAGTGTCAGTTAAGGAGCATCCTCCGATGGAAAGTTATGCCATTCATATAACCAAGGAAGTGGTGATTTACCAACATGGAATATTGTCCATAGTATATTGAATGAAATCAAGAATATATTTCCACTGCTTAGGAAAAGATTTGCTCTGCTGCAGGTGATTACCTCTTGAGGAGGAGAACTCTCCTTTTATCAAGTATTACTTGAAATTTGTGTTATAATTTTTTAAAGATTTAAGAGCAGTAAAAGTGAGGAATAAACTCTATAGCAACTTAGACTTTTCTATATCCAGTTAATTTAATAATAAACTCAAGGGACTTCCCTGGTGTTCCCATGGCTAAGATTCTGCCCTCCCAATGAAGGGGCCTGGGTTAAAAAAAAAAAAAATTGAAAATTTACTTATTTACTTATTATTGGCTGCTATGGGTCCTTGATGCTACTCACAGGCTTTCTATAGCTTCAGGGTGCAGTGGGGTTGGGGGTGGGGTGGGCTACTCTCTAGTTGTGGTGCTCTGCGGCATGTGGGATCTTACCAGGGATCGAACCCATGTCCCCTGCATTAGCAGGCAGATTCTTATCCACTGTGCCGATAGAGAAGTCCCAAGGACAGGGAATTGAAAAAGATCATGATAGCTATGTTTCCAAAGTATAGTCACTCAGTCGTGTCCGACTCTTTGCGACTCCATGGGCTGCAGCTATACTCTAATACAAAATATAAAGTTTAAACAAAAAGGATCATGAAAAATGAAAAGTCTTCCTTTTACATTTCCTTTAATGTTAGACAACACAAATAATACACAGTAAACACAAATGGGGGGAGGGGAAATCCTTTGTTATTAATATATTTTTACGAGCAAGCTTGTCCCAGACAGCCACTTGGACAATCCTCCTTTTCTCCACCCCATGTCAGTCAGTTCCACCTGACTTAAGACACAGTGGATTGTAACTCAGTGTGCATCCTTACTATCTAAGCAAAAGGCAGCAGGTGAGGTGTGGTCTCTAGCCCCAAACTCCCATCCCAGAGCAGCTGATTCTCAAAATCCCATGGGAAGCCACCCACAGTGACAGGGCCCACACGTGGAACCTGGTCGCGCAGCCTGATTTGTGAGGCCCACGAGCTAAGAACCATTTAAAAATGTTTAAATGGTTACATGGTTATGTAAGTACCTACACAGCATCTGTGATTTTATCCCCTGGAAACACAAAGCCTAAATTACTATCTGGTCCATTAAGAAAAGATCTTGTCAACTTTCTCTACTCCTTCCAAACCTCAGCTTCGGAGCAGAGTGGAAAGTTTGGGGCATGAACCCACTCAGCAAGGGCCCAGCGCCTGGCAGTCTGTGCCACCCTCGGTCTGGCCTTCGTGGGCCGTCACCTTCCCGGGGAGGCCCGGGCAGCCTCAGAGCCCCGCGTGGCTGGGGCGGCCTCGGCGGGGGCAGCCCCAGCGCTGGCGTAGGCAGAAGTGCCAGACCAGGGCGGAGCAGCTGAGCAGGGCCAGCGCCGAGCCCACGCCGACAGCCGCGTGCAGCACAGTGAGCGGCCGCGGAGGCACAGTCAGCCGGCCGCAGGGCCCTAAGTTGGGGCCGTCCGCGCTGTCGAGGCCCTCCACCCCGGGCCCGGGCGCGCGGCTCTCTCCCGCGTCGTTGGCGGCCACCACGCAGACAACGTATGCACCCCCGGGCTTCAGGCCCTTCAGCTCCGCTCGGCGGACCGTCGAGTTGAAGCTGGGCCCCTTCTGCGGAGCCCCACCGCCTTCCCACAGCAACAGCCAGTACTGGTGGACTGGGGAGGAGGGGGCGCACCAGTGCACCTCGGCGCGGCCAGTCTCGGCCTCCACGCGCACTTCCCCCAGGCGTGGCGGCTGCGGCGGCTGCAAGGCGCTGGAGAGGCCGGGGCACAGGCAGGCTCTCCGGCCGGCCCTCTGCAGCTCCTGGCAGGGCACCTGCAGGTGGCGGCAGTGGTCATAGTCACAGGGGACAGCCGGCAGAGGTGTCTCATCTGGCTCGTCTCCTTCCAAGTCTCCGGCCGCTAAGGGCTGCGTTCTGGGAACCAGGGAGAAGGTGACAGCAAGGAGCCACAGAAGGCAGGGAGCGTGCGGCATGGAATCTGGAAGGGAAGATGCAAGGGTAAATGCTCTTCAGCCCCCAGACCCTGCCGGCCCCCCCTCGTCCCTCAACAAAACCTGTAAGCAAAGGGAAACAGGACCGGGGACCAGGAGAACAAGAGGTGGGAATGACCCCGACACACCCATGTGTCCGTCCAGCTTCTGAACAGCGTATGTGCTTGGTTTTGGGGAAAAGAATGAAATGTGGTCTGAGTTGACAGAGAGGTGCGATTGGCAACATGTGAAGCGCTGGAAATAGTTAATGAATAAACAGTGCTGGGGGGAGCTGGGGCGGAGAAGAGGAGGAAATGATTTACACCGCCTGGGTAAGGAAGGTGGAATGGTTACCAGCTGCCACCCAGAGCAATCAGATAGTCAGCGACACATGCAGAAAGCCAGAAAGGAGATGTTAGTTAGAACGGAGAAGAGAGGGGACACAGGCCCTGGAGCCCTCCGTCCCCACCTGTCGAAGGCCTGGTCCCTCCCTGCCCTCCACAGTTCTATCTCATAGGCACCCCCTTACCAGCAGGTAGGCCTTGATGCGGCGAGTAGCAGGCTGGGGCTCCTAAAAGGCCCCCAGGAACACAGGCTGTGCGGTCACGTTCTGTCAGTGTCTTCAATTTCAACTCTGTTTCGGCCCAAAGCTTTTATACCCCTCGACTGTGATGTCACCACCTGGCCCCCCTTCCCCTGCTCCCCTCCCTGGTGAGTGCCAAGAAGAGGGCTGGTCCCTTCAGAAGGCCTGAGTCACGGGGCCAGGGTGGGGGAGCCACATGCAGCGGTTTCAGCTGGAGGTCGGGATGCCTGGGTTCTGAAAGAGCAGTGGAATGTGGAAAGCAGCCAGGGGCTGAGAATCCAAAGGCTGAAGTCATGTGAAGGGGTGAGGAGGGGAGTGAAAGGGATGGGGCCACCTGGCTGGTATCAGAGAGGAAAACAGCTACGGACAGCATGGGGCCTGGGCCACAAAATGCTGTTTCGGTAAAAATCATACCACATCCATGGCAGTCATTTCCTGCCTTCTGCCTCCCCGCGGATTGAGAAAGGGAGGGGTTCAGAGGCCAGAATGATGTATCCCAGCTTTGCAGCCCCGCCCTATGCTATCCCCCTCCCCAGAGGGAGAGGACTGAGTGGGCAGGTTTTCATTCCCTGGACTTCCAGGCTGATGAATGGAAACAGCTGTGCCTAAAATAGTCCAGGGCCTGGAGGTCTTCTGGATCCATGGCCCCTGAGAAGACCACCTCCTCCAGTCAGGGCGGGGAATGCCTGGGGAACACCAGGTTTTTAAATGACCCTGAATCCACTTCAGAGTCAGGGAGGCAGCTGGCACGAAAATAGTTTATTATTGGGGGAGCCCCGGAGAGAGAAAGGGAGCAGGTGGAAAAGGGCCAGCATATGGGGACTCGGCCCTACTCGCTTCAGGAGCTGGAGCAGATGGGGCGCTGTCGGACGGAGCCCACAGAGGGCTCCGAGCTGCCCACAGTCTCGGGGGCAGGGGCAGAGCCAGAGGCAGCCAGGTTGGCCTCCGTCAGCAGAGCTGCATCTTCCCAGGAGCCTGAACCTGGGCCAGGGGAGAGAAAACGAAATCCGAAAGGGGAAATTTCAGGCCAGGGGCCCCCGCGCCCGCCCAGGGTAGCCTCCGCCCTGCCCACATGCCCCCCCAGGTCCCGCCACACAGCGTCCCTCACCATCACTGGCCTCTGGCTCCAGTTCCTCCTCGCCACTCAGGGGCTGCTGATCTGTTTTCTCCTCCTCGGACAGCTGGCCTTCTGCAGCCCCAGGGGGGAAGGCAGAGGTCAGTCTGGAGGAGGCTGAAGGGGAGGACCGAGGAATCAGGAAGGAGGTCGGGCGGCTGCACCGTACCTGTCCCAGAGGGATCCATGTGGCTCTCACCGTCCTCTGTAACAGGTGACAGCTGGGGGGACTCCTCCTGGCCTTGGGGCCCTGTGCCTCCAAAGGGGGTAGAGGACAGGACAGGACTAGGGTGGCTGTGCCTGGATGGCAGTGCCAACGTCACCCCGTCCCGCCTTTCTCTTGACCTTCAGCTTAGTAGGCAAGCACCTAAAAGCCTCATTCTGGATGGCACAGGAGCACCCCCCTGAGCCCCCAGCCATCACCTCTACCTGGCTGATGGGCAGAGATCTTTCGCTGGACTTCCTTGCGGGAGCGTTTTCGGTTTCGGATGTTTACCTGTGGAGGGGAAACTCCTGAGCAGCAAGGCCTGCCTTCCCTCACCGGAGTGACTGAACCCTTCTACCCCAGCCCCCAACACGCCCCAGCCCACTCCCCAAAGAAAAACCATGAAGGGGAGAGGAAGGGGTCCTTTGAGACCTGCAAAGAGAGGCGCTGCCGGGGCCAGACGCCCCCCCACACCCACTGCATGTAGCTGAAGAGCACAATGACGCTGAGGAAGGTGAAGTTGCTGGCGACACCTACGAAGGCGCAGGTCATCGGGAAGTTGTACAGCAGGTACCTGAAGCAGGGAGTAGCAGGAGGGGAGTACAGCTACCAGGGAGTGCCAGCCTTCTCATTTCCCAGAAGTAATTTCTAGGGCAGTTCACCAGAGCTTGGTGAGAGCTGGTCTCCACCCTCTGCCTCCCACCCACTGAGCCAGCGGTTCAAGAGAACAGTTCTCCATTCTGACTGCACATGACTTCCCCCTGGGGTGCTTTCAGAAAGGCTGATGGCTGGGGACTTCCCTGACTAAGGTCCAGTGGCTAAGACTCCACTCCCAAAGCAGGGGGCCTGGGTTTGATCCCTGGTCAGGGAACTAGATCCCACATGCTGCAACTGAAAGCTGGCACAGCCAAATAAATAAATATTAAAAAAAAAAAAAGTCTGGCAGCCAGATAGGACCATAACAAATCCTAGCCCAGGCATCGGTATTTTTCTAAAAGTTCCTCAGGCTCCTGATATGTGATGTGCAGCCAGGGCTGAGAACCTGTGGCCCAGGTAAAGCCCGTCACCTCTGCTTAGGACCCTCTTCACTTAAGGACAGGCCCACGAGGGCTGCCCAGGCCACGTGGGCACTGCCTCACCTGAGCCCAGTGAAGTGGGCGTGGATGCGGAGGTAGGCTCCGTACATCTGGATGCGCTTGCTGTGGATCTCAATGATGGCTCCAGTGGTCGGCACATACTGCGGGCGGGAGGGCAGTGGCGGCAGCACATCAGGCCAGGATCCTGCTGTCACTCTTACCAGCCCAGTCTGAGGCCCGCTTCCAGCCTCCACCGCGGTCCCTCCTGACAGAGCCCGGAAGCTCCTCGGGTAAAATTCTGGGCTTGTGGGGAGGGCTGACTCTTGTCCTCCTCCTCTCCTCTCCTTACCGAGTTCTCTCTGTACTCTGGGTATAGCTCCACCTCCAAGAGCTGCTTCTGCTCCGCAAAGCCGAACAGCAGGAGGCTAGAGAAGACCAGTGTGTCGAGCATCTGGAGCAGGCTTGAGCGGTAATGTAGCATCACCTGCCAGGGCCAGGGAAGAGGCTGGGGACAGGCGCCGACCCTCAAAATCACCCCTGAACAGGGAGGAGAGGCTGGGCATGGGTGCCCACCCTCAAAATCACCCCTGAGCAGGGTATGAAGGCGGCTTCTTCCTTAGGTCCCCTACTCCCTTTCACTTCCTACCACGCCCCAAGTCTCGACCCCATCATTGCAAAAGTTTGAAGACATCCCTGCCCTGCCCTTCCCAACCACATGTCTCTATTCCAATACAACAAAGTCTCCTCTTCTAAGAAAGCCTCCCAGGTGAAGCCCCACACCATCTGTCATCTACGTTTCCCCAGCACGGTTCTATAATCTCGAACAGGGTACCATCTATTCTAGTACACTGGAACTAGTACACATGCCAGTGTACCATCTGAGGCTTTTTCCCCCACGTGGACATTCAGGAAGTTGCTTCATGAGATGGTTCTGTTGACAATTAAGAAACGGAGTCTAACATTTATTGAACACCCACTATTTCCTCATGGAATCCCAAACCAGTCTATGAGGGAGTTACTACTATATTTGCTTCAAGGGGTTAAGTAAATTGGCCCTCAGCTAGTATGTTTCTGAGTGAGGACTTGAGGCCTGGTCTCGCTGGCTCCAAAAACACCCGTTTTCAGGGCGGCTCCACTCTTCAGACTTTAGCCCCAAAGATGGGTGTGCTCATCAGATGTCCGGGGCAGGGGAAGAGGGCATTTATCTGGTTTGGTAAACTGACACCTCTTGCCATGCTGATGTGTCAGTGTCTGTGTCTCAGACCACAGAATGTTTTCTCCTGAAGCCCCACCCAGATACTCTGACATCTGTCATCATTCTCCACAACCTCCTAGACAGGCCATGGACACTCACGGAGCGTGACGAGGTGGAGATGATCCGGCCGCCTCTGGTGTAGCATGAGATGGTGACCAAGAACATGCCCAAATCTTGATTCACAGGAGACTCTGGCAGCTCAAGCTCTAAGGTAACGCGGTACGGCTGTCCATACATCAGTACCTGCCCAAGGTAGCCAGCATCTCTTTCAAAAAAATTTTTTTAATTGCACTGTCCCTGTCCCACCTCCCGGCTACCCCTCCAAATACAATTTCCTCCGCTATCAAAACAGGCCTCAAATCTCCCTCTTCCCAAGAAGGTGCTGCCCCCTTCTGGTAGCTTAATCCCTTACTTCTGAGATCTTCAGTATCTACACTCCTGAATCACTCTGTTCCAGAAAAGTTGTGTCCCATTTCTTCTCCAAAAGTGAACCGTCATGGTGCCAACTGGGCCATCTGTGACTCAGGCCTCCTTGTCCCTGTGAGGCCATCCCCTCGGGCCCAGCCTGCCTTCATTTACATACTAATTAGCAGAGTGCCAGAAGCGCTCACCATTTCCCTAGCCAGCTCTCCCACAGTAACTGTGTCCTTCTGGGTCCCTTACCTTGGTTCTGTTGGTAGAACCCTGAGACTCGCAGTGGGAAGGCATCTTCACTGGGATTAAGCTCAAGAGATTAAAGATTTGCCACCAAACATACCCTAGTTATTCCTGACCATTCCTATACTCCTCTAATCCTATATTCGGCTATGCTTGTCCTGTGCATGACCCCCTCAGGGTGATCCACAAGGATTACAGGGGTGATGGTAAAGCTTTTGGTTTTAACCAAAGAGGGAATGGGTTAAAAAAAATTTTTTTTGAAAAAAGAGTGCCCTAACCCTAGTAGTGAGGGCTTCCCTGGTGGATCAGATGGTAAAGAATCTGCCAACCCAGGCTCGATCCCTGGGTTGGGAAGATCCCCTGGAGAAGGGCATGGCAACCTACTCGAGTATTTGTGCCTGGAGAATCCCATGGACAGAGGAACCTGGTGGGCTACAGTCCACAAGGTTGCACAGGGTTGGACACGACTGAAGTAACTTAGCACAAATGCACACAACCCTAATAGTGAACTATCTAGATTTATTGCTATGAAAGTACTTTGAGCACTTTATCCCTAGAGTAACAGGCGAAAATCCACTGATCAAAATCTTTCTTTATATACTTTCTTATTTTCAGTCTGAATTATTATTTTTTACTTTTTTGTTGTTGTTCGTTTCTTTGACCACACTGTGCAGCATATGGGATCTTAGTTCCCCGATGCGGGAATAAACCCACACTCCTTGCATTGGAAGTGCAGAGTCTTAACCCCTAAACCACCAGGGAAGTCCCTTCAGTCTGACTGTCTTGAAAAAAATGGATTCCATGAGAGTCCTACCCCCATGTAGAGGCCAGGTGAATCTAAGCTGGTTGCTTCACTGAATTCTTTGAAACATTAAAACAGGTAGTTCTCTGGGTGAGCAGGAGGGAAATGGGGAGTGACTGCTAGGTATTGGGTATGAGTTTTTTTCTGGGGTGATGAAAATGTTCTCAAATTGATTATGGTGACTGTTGCTCAGCTCTGAATATATTAAAAACGACTGAACTGTATGTTTTGAATGGGTGACTTGTATACTATTCCAATTATATAGCAATAAAGATATATATATATATAAAATAAATATATTTATTTATTTATTTATTTTGTGTTGGCATCACCAAATCAATGTACATGAGTTTGAGTAAACTCCAGGAGTTGGTGATGGACAGGGAGGCCTGGCGTGCTGCAGTCTGTGGGGTTGCAAAGAGTTGGACACGACTGAGCGACTGAATTGATATACATGTACATATATATTTGTTTCTTTTTAAGCCAGTAATTATGTCATCTCCTCCAAGGGGATCCAAAAATTGCTAATACCAGAATCTTGTGAAGGACTCCTGCCTTTGTTCACATTTGTCTGCCTGACGGAGAAGTCTCCTCCATTCCCACACTGAGCCTCACCATTGCCATAGTCTCCAGAAGACCTAATTCTTTGCAAATTCTTCTGAAATACAGGAGCTGCATCTTTGCTACTTAATGCAATGTAGAGATTTCCGTCAATCCTGTGAGCTCTCTGAAGCAGGACAACATCTACTTCTCAACAAGCTGTTACCCACAAAATAGACCCAGTATTTCACTCACTCATTCAAAAATGTTCACTACAAATCAATGAAATGATCAAGCTGCTTTACTTATTGGGGAACTTGGGCCTCACCCTTCATCCTTCCATTCCTTCCTCATCCAACAGTCTGGTACCTGATGGTTTTAGGCTTTTAGGCTCCCTGTGTCACCAACCATTACGATCTACAACAGGAAGCCACACAACAGCACGCACCATCCCAGGTGTAGATGTACTGTGACCTTGTTTCTACTCCCCTCTCAATATATTCCATTTATTATTATTATTGAGCCACAAAAACACAATGAACCTATGTTTTCATAGAATATTCTATAGTACTCTCCACATTACTTTCTTGAGTAGCAGAACTAAATAGATAATCCTCTGTCTCACAATGCCCAACACTCCACTCCACCACTTTTTTTGACCATGCTGTGCAACTTGCAGGATCTTAGCTCCTGAACCAGATTTGAACCAGGACCCTTGGCAGTGAAAGTGTGGAGTCCTAACCACTGGACTGCCAGGAAATTCTCCACTTCACCACTTTGAAATCTCCATTTGGGATCCACTCATCCCGCCTGGTAAACTTTCTGGATAGTGGTACTCTGGTGGTACATTGGAAGATGTCACAAGATACACAGTCTTCAGGGTTATTTGTATTGTCAACCCCAGGGGGTCCAAAACTCTATAGCTTACATTCCTCCCTTCAGAGTGACCATTTATTTCTATCCTCCGTATTTTCTATCTTCAGGTCAGTATCCTCCCAAGTACAATTTTTGGGAAATCATTTTCAAATGATTTTTAAACTTTTAGTTTGACCACTGATTACTTCTCATTATGCTGCTGACAAGTCAAAATACTCTGGTGATCAGAAATGCTGTTGATCCTCCAGGGTCCTTCTGAAGTGTTCTGGGATCCTACCCTTTTGCAGAGCTTCCACCAACTTCCCTAATAAAGAAAGATGCATTCCTACTTTGCATTTCCCAGGGCTTTCAGGTTTATTGAAGATATACTGGCATTTGGCCAGTCCTCTGGCACAGTACCCTTTGTAATGGAAGGTTACGTGTATCTCTCAATAGTGTCATAATAACATACTTTCAAAATTCTTGGGTGAATTCCATCCTAGTTCAGTAAGATAGCTGGTTTCTTTAAGTTCTTCTAGATCTAAAACACCCCTTTATCTAGCAGATATGGCCTGGCTGAAACAATTTAAGGAGGAAAGAATAACCCATTCAATTCATTTGGACTTCAATTTTTTTTAACCTCCCTTTCCTTGAAAGCTTTCCCTTTAGTCTCTGTTACTCAGTCCCTGGTATCAAGGTCTTTCCCAACTGTTCTTGTTTCAAGTCATCAAAGCTCTAATGAAACCTCTGTTCAGCTCCCGTACTCACCCGATCACGTCCACCCTTAGCCAGTGTGACATTGGCAACAGGGAAAGAGCAGAGTAAGGAGGTGGAGGATTCGCAGTCCGTCCTAAATGAGAATGAGGATGATACTCTGCTAAGTCATAGTCTGTCTTACTTATCCACACACCTCCTGGGCCCCTGGGACTCCCTTTCCTGTCCCCCATCCTTTCTTCCAGAACAGTCATCCTTCTCTGTTAGAGAGAGACGGAGAAGAAGTGCAGCCAGGAGACTCAAGACACTAGAATGAGTCTTTTAAATTCTCTCTCTGCTACTTGTGTTTATTTCTTCTCATGAAGGTAGACATTCTTAAATGGGAACCTATGGACACTTAGTTGAATAGTTTCAGACTTAATTGTTTCTAAAGACTTACTTGGGAAGCTGATAAAAATGCAGATTCCTAAAAAAATAAAACAGATTCCTGGGTACCATCCCTCGAGACTCTGATTCCAAAGTTCTGGTCTGGGGCCTAGTTCGAGAAAACTACTCCAAAGGGACCCACAGATAAGAGGCTCACAAACCCTTCCAATTGTAGGCAAAATTTCACATGGGTATGTATCAATAAGTAGGTTCTTATGACAGGAAGGGCCATAGCTTTCATGAGATCCATGCCTACTAAAGTTTAAGCAGCTCTGCCTTAGAAATTATGGCTCATGACCAGGGATTCAGGACATGGAAAGAAAAAAGAAAAAAAAAAAAAAAACTTTGGACCATTGATAATAGTCTCCTTATCAGCACCTCTTGATTGGTCCTGTAGTCATTTTTAAAAGAAGGGGAGAGAATTTGGCAGGATCTGTAAAATGGGAAGGAACTGAGGATTCAGATAAGTAGGACTCTGGGAGTTGGTGAACCTAGACACCTTGTTTTCATAAGCTCTACTGCAGCAGACAATCAGGAGTGGGAAGTGATATGAAAGGCAAATACCGCTTTCCTCATACCTTCTCTACTGAAGGCCAGATTAGATTAGTTCTGAGATGAGTTGAGAGGTTGGGTTAGCTTAAAAGTCTACAGCAGCCCTGAGAGAGGTCTGATCCAGCCTAAATTGAATTGACCCTCATAATGACAGTCCAGGAGAGGGCTTTTTTGGTTTGTTTTTTAAACCAGATTTCAGTAACCAGAGACAGGACTAGGGCCCTAGAGCCCTACTAGCCCAGACCTGGCCCAACCTTGGGCTAAAAAGCAATGTAAGTGCACTAGGCTCGAGTGTCCTCTATAAATAAGAGGGTTTTCCTCAATAAGCGCCAATGGGAGTTGCAGAAATCCTCGCACAGGATTCCTCGACTTTGACAGAAGACCCCTCTCACCTGTAGTGGAAATGCACAGGGCTGAGGTGGCTGACTGTCGGCATGTAGGAATAGTAGAAGGAGCCATAGAGGAAGACGGACACCCAGAGCAGGAGGAGGATGGTACAGAAGAACACTCCAAACTGCAGAAGCAGCTTGCGGGCTCGGCCTGCCATGACGTGGCCCATCTCCTGGGCCCACAGTAAGGCAGGTACTGGTGGGTCATTGACCATGACAGGGAGTGCAGGGGGTCTGGCCCCGGGTTCAGGCTTTGGGTTCCTAGGTGCTTTGCCACCTGGACGCCACTCCTGGCCATGGGACGAAGCAGCTGGTGGTTCCTGGAAAAAGACCGAGAAGGGGAAAGAATGGCTCGTTTCACGGGGGAGGTGAGGACAAAAAGGACACGCTGACCAGAATGGCTTTGAGGAACCAGAGACAGCAAGACATAGCAAAGCCTTTGTTTCATATGGCTTTTCTCCAACTGATTGTGTTTCTCAGCCAATTATCCCTTCCCATCCTCCACTGAGCTTTCCCACCACCCCCCTGTGCTAGAGTTCTTCAGCTGAACCCATCCTCGGGTCACCTGATTTTAGGACAGGCTACTTTGATGGTCATTCATAGCAACCTATTACATACAGAGGATGAACGCCTTAAAATTCTTCTAAGGCGAATTTATTCACACGATTCCACACTGCGAGGTGGCTGCACGGGGAGAATTCGCGATTTGTCTAAGGTCGCACAGCCGGACTCAAAGCCAGCAACCTCAAGCGCAGCTACTATTGCCTCCCGAGTTGTTTCTCTCCTCCTGGCGTTGCGTTCGCTCCCAGATAAGACCGCGCTCCACGCCCAGTAGGGCGTCCTGCGGCCAACGGCCGCTCGCCGCCAGACCCCTCCGATTAGGTGACCGGCGCGTCGCCCGGAGACCCCACGCAACCGCACCACCATAGAAACCATCCAGCCCGCAGCGTCAGCTCCGCAAACTCACCAGTCGCGCGCGCTGCCAGGGCAACGGCGAGAAGGCACTTCCGCCTCCCAGGAAAGTTCCGCCCCCTTCCGCCGGCCGCCTCTGTAGCGCAGGGGAGCGGGGCTTGTCCGGGGCGGGGCCCGGCGCAGGGGGCGGGGCCTTCCAGGCGGCCAGGTTCCCACCTCCAAGCACCCGGCACTCTCTCCCTCTGTGGTCCCTTACCCCCTCCCCCTTTGGTAACCAAAACCGAAGCGGATAGGCATCTCCCTTCAGGCTCCAAGATATGCTCCAGGAAATGCTGAGTCAGCAGCATCCCTCTCAGCCAGCCCCTCGAGGCCGCAATCGCGGCACTCCGCCTACACCTTCACTATCAGTCATTTAACCCCCAAAAGGGGGAGAGGCAGGCGTCCAACAGGCGCTGATTTTTATTGCGCACATCTCCTTGGACCCGTGGGCTTCCAAGGCAGAGGGCATTCACCCCGGGAACGTTGCAATCTGCGGGTACCTGGGAATTTTGCGTGATGCGCCGGCATCACGCAATAGGGGCTGACTGGCCCCCATTCACAAGAGTGGTAGCATTTCAGGCCCGTGATTTGTCTCCAGCTTTAAAGACGCGTCGTCGACCTCCGCCGACCCTAACCAGACTTTTTCTCTGAGTTCCCACAGCGCATTATCTAGACTAGGTCTTGGCGGGTGGCACTTTCTATTTTGTATATGTCTATTCACCCCAAACAAGATCCTTCAGAGGGTAAGGTCAGTGTTGCGCACATCTTTGCACTCCCCACAGCACCACGCAAAACGCTGCATACGTAAGAGGCAATCTCTCAAACCAACACATACACACACACACACACACGCATCCAGGAAGTCCATCTATTTCCAGAAACACCCACCGACTCTCCCCTACCTCTTCTTTGTCGGATTCTTTGATCTGGTCTCTGCATGCCTCTTTTTCCCCAGCTTCTCCTTCTTCTCTTTGGTCTGCCATTTCTTCAGACATCTTTCTGATGGACCTTGCTGCCCTTGGATTCTCCACTTGTAGCTAGAACGTTAAGTGGTGATCTAGAAGCTGAAACCTGTAGCTCATCACATTTTCCTGGATATGGGGAATGGAGGGTCCCTGGAAGAGAAACGAAGATTCAGGTGCTAAATGCTGTGTCAGGGTAGAGGGAGGAGGGATGGAGGGGGCGACTGCCCAGCTGATGTCAGAATTTCAAATGAGCAGGGTCTCACGCAGTCTCTACTGATTTCACTGCAGGGGCTGTCACAGGTCCAGACCACCCCATTTGAGGGGGGAGTCTGCCTGGGACTCAGCTACTTCCAGCTCCTTTGGGGAGGGCTCTAGCCCAGACTCTGGATGCCTGCAATGGGGAAGGGCAGGCAGTGAAACGTTAACAGTGGGGGTGTGCACAGGGGCTGCAGGCAGCAGCCAGGCTCCCCCACTGGCCAGACAGTTGGTATACGCCAGGATCTGAGCTGCTCCTTCTAGCATCCTTCATCCTTCAGGTATCAGCCAGTGCTGGAGCTGCAGAAACAGGGACCAGCCCTCCACTGGCCTCTGACCTGACCCTCTCCAGCGGCCTTCTCTGTATTAGCTGCTTCTGCTGCTGCGTCAGATACTCTCAGCTGCAACTCCCTACAAGGTGGGGTACCCATCTCAGGCAGGTTTTGGTGCACCCCACTGATCAGATTCCTCAGGACTGTCGCTGCCTGTGGCCTCAGGTGAGTAGGGAGCATCCTGCTTTTCTCCCTTTGGGGCTTAAGGGGGCAGGTGGGGGTTATGTGCCCTCCTTATTAGGGTGGGTCTCTTTCTAGTTGTGGTTTTCAGAGCTAGGAACAGAGATAGCTTGAGGGCTGTAAAGCCTTCAGTCATTCACATGTTTGATGATCTGTAGCCCAGGCCTTGTAGGAGTTTGGGAGCATCTCATTCCACTTCTCCGCTTCCTTAGCTGAGGAACGGGGAGATGGGAAAGGCCAGGGAGGTTGGGAATAAGAGGGGAGTAAAATATTAGGGTATATGACCTAGCTTTGCAATGGTTGATGAGGCGTAATGGGGGAACGGGGCCTTCAGCTGAAATTGTGCAGGGCCCCCTAGCACGCTCTGAGCTGTCTTTTCTCCAGGATGAAAGGGGAGACCCCTGTGAACAGCACTATGAGTATTGGGCAAGCCCGCAAGATGGTGGAACAGCTTAAGATCGAAGCCAGCTTGTGCCGGATAAAGGTGGGTGGGGCCCTGGATCCCATTAGTTGGCAGGCTGTTCCTAGGTGCCCAAACCTCAGGCTAAGACAGGCTTTCTTTCACTGACTCCTTGAGATCATGGAAGGAGTCTTGGCATCTGTAAGGAAAGCTGGCTCCATGTCTCTGTGGGTGATGAGGGAAGAGAAGACTGCCTTAAGGAGTCCTAAAGATGGCAAAATATCGATAATCTATTTGGGGAAGGAGGCTGCAGCCCCCTTCGGGATTTCTGGCTAACAATTCCCCTCCTGGCTGTGCCCCAGGTGTCCAAGGCAGCAGCAGACCTGATGACTTATTGTGATGCCCACGCCTGTGAGGACCCCCTCATCACCCCTGTGCCCACTTCGGAGAACCCTTTCCGGGAGAAGAAATTCTTCTGTGCTCTCCTCTGAGCTGCCCTGTTCCTCTTAACAACTCTTCACCTTTCCCTCTCCCGGGCCCTTCCTTATTTATGTCAGTAACTGTCGTGAGCCCCCGAGGACCCCTGCATCCCACCCCTAGCCCTTGCCCAACTCTGTGAGGTTATCCGAAGCCCAAGCCCTCCGTCACCTGTCTGCCGACTCCACTTCCTCGCCCCCTGTGGCAGACCCAAAGCACCCTGTGACTCGGGGCACCCGTACTCCACCCACAGAAGGGCTGTCAGACTCTGTCAGCGTCCCGCCGGCTTCCCTCTGTGACCTGCTCAGACAATGGAGAGAGGGATGGGCTGGGTGCTTGCTCTCAGTCTCACCTTGGAGCTATTGGGAGGCTAAAGCCATGTGAAGAATAAAGTCATCCAGAGTCTCAGAGGACAGCTCCTGTGTTACGGTTCTTGGGGGGAGAGGCTCATCAGTCAATAGATTTGGTGGTGGGTGCCACAGGTAGAAAGGCTTGCCATAACCAGGGAACAGGGCCAGTCAAAGCGCGTTAGACATTCTCTAGGATCAGAGATTCGTCGGATTAGAGGGGATGGCGAGCAAGAGAAAGCGTCTCAAGTGGGAGAACTGTTACCAACAGGCACTCAGAGGCTACAGAGAGAACTCCTACACGTACACAAGAACGCGATGAAGACAAATGAAAAAGAAAACAGACCGAACCGGGCAAACTTAGGAAGGCATTCCCGAGGGAAGTCGAAGACAGGAGGTACCCAGGGAGAGGGAGGAGCTCAGTTCCAGTTCCTGAGGAGGGGCCGGTTTTACTTCTAAGATGGCTGCGCCCACAGCAGCCCCCCCCAAGATGGCCGCCGCCATGGGGCCCGCGCCAATACGGCGGCCGCGCGTCACAGCGTTTCACCGTACAGGGCTTCTCCGCTGGGCCCATACTTAAAATGGCGGCCCCAGGCAGCCGGAGGTCTCAATATGGGCTCTTCCTTGCTCATGTGTCTCAAAATGGCTGCCTGTGTCCTCGCCAACTCGATACCCACTTCTCCCCAACCCGGAGGCTGGACGTCGACGTCCACCCGATCCAGGTGAAGGCACAGGGGTGGCTATAACCAAGGATCTTGGGACAAGGGATCCCCGGCAAGCACGCCGATATAGTAGGCGCCGGACGCGTGGATTTTATGAGAATCTGGGTCCCTACAGCTTGCCTAGTGGAAGCTCCTTCGGAGCGGAAACACAAGTGTGACAATTCCCGCACCTTTCGGCTTGGGGGTGCTGTTCCTCGGCTGGCTCTTGTTCTCCCTAGGAGTTGGATAAGCCCTAAATTGTTCAGTTTTGGCTTCCTGGTAGAACTGGGGCTTACTATCCTCTCACTTCCCATTCAGGCCCATTCTGTCACATCCGCTAGGATTAATGTCCCCGCCCCTGGTTCGCTTACCACCCCTCGTAGTGGTCCAGCCAGCAAGCTGACCGGCCAGAGGCTTGTCTCACGAGCGCCTCCTGGGCTCAGCCTCGGCAGAGGTTTATAAAGCCCCAGAATACTTTTTCTAGCAGCCTTTGCCTTCCAAAGGACATAAGGAGGTGGGACCAAGGCCAAGGCAGAGAAGGTAGTAGTCTCAGGATCTCTGCTCCTCAAGGATTAAGAGTCCCCACCCCCCATTCAGGAATACATCCTTTCCCCGGGGAAGACTCAATCAGCTCATGCTGTGTCCTGGGATACACTTAGGGGCAGGAGCTGATTTGCAGTAGGTGTGGGTGACCTATAGTAGAGAAAGCATATCACCCCCAGCTTCCTCACACTTTCACACAGGAAGCCAAGCACGGGGAGAATAGAGAAGAAACCAGGGGAATAACAGATTCCTGTGGATGTCTCCACAGGCTACAGGGGTACCCAGTGAACTTAGGGAGCTGCTGCTGAATTCCTGAGCCCTAATAGGCCCTGGAGATACTTAATTCCCTCATCCTAGACAGGAAGAAACGAGAAAGTAACCTGGTCTCCCTCCTGAAGTGGGGACCTACCCAGATTCTGTTCAGGAACCTGTTTAGTTCTTGTGCTGTGCTTAGTCGCTCAATCGTGTCCTACTCTTTGTGACCCCATGGACTGTAGCCCACCAGGCTCCTCTGTCCATGGAGATTCTCCAGGCAAGAACATTAGAGTGGGTTGCCATTCCCTCTTCCAGGTGATCTACCTAACCCAGGATAGAACCCAGGTCTCCCACGTTGCAGGTGGATTCTTTACCATCTGAGCCACCAGGGAAGCCCACTTAGTTCTTAGTGCCTGTTGAAAGCTCCTCGAAGGATCAAGTTTTTTAAAAATCTCTGCATCCTGTCAGTGTCTGGCATATAGCAGGCATTTAAATATCTAACAATTTGATTGTACTATACATGCTTAAATGGTAAGCAGGGCATAAAACAATCTTTCTCTTTTCCTGTTATCACAGTGTTGGGCAAATTCCAGAGGAGTAAGTGAAAATTTCTACATCTGCTCAGACTTCATAAAGTCAGAAGTACTCAAAAAATGTAATCTCGATTTTTTTTTTTTTAAAGCAGCCTCTGCTCAGTTCTTCTACATACTCAATTTTCATACTTGTCAGATTAGAGGTGAATGTCTGCAGCCCTAGTTAGGGAAAAGGTGGGGGTGGGGGTGATTAGAGGTTACTAGAGACAAGACATAAGCTATAAATAACCACTTAAAATAAGTAACTATAACACTGAGTAACTTTAAGAATCCTAGAGAATGGGCAGACACTGAGATCAAGGATAGCGTTTGGGCTCGAAGCTATGACTCTAGGGTGAGAATCTGTGTCATGTCCAAAGGGAGGAGTTACAGCAGTAACTATATCATCACTACTTCAAAACCCTCCATGTCATAAGCTTGTGGTATCCCAGCCTTAATAAGTCCCTGACCATTTATTAGAAACTACAATCAAGGTCAGTTCCATGCTAGTGACACAAATGCTTTTGTCAGCTAAAGTTACCTTCTCATTCTACAAATTCACTAGGAAAGAATCCCCATCAAACATCTTCTGCTGAATAAGTAGGCTCTTCCTTTTAAGTGGTAATTAGTTGTTGTTTAGGTGCTGTCGTGTCTGACTTTTTTCTACTCTCTGGATTGTAGTCCACCAGGTTCCTCTGTCCATGGGATTTCCCAGGTAAGAATACTAGAGTGGGTTGCCATTTCCTTCTCCAGATCTTCCGGACCCAGGGATTGAACCCGCGCTTCCTGCATTGGCAGGCAGATTCTTCACCACCGAGCCACCAAGGCTTCCCTAAGTGGGAATTACTCACAAATAAACGTATGTGGCCCCTAAATGGACAACCCTACATTTAACCTCTCACACTCAACTGGTTTTAGTGTAGGCCGAAAACAGAAGTCATGAGTTATAACTTATTTTCTTCTACACCAATGGTTCAAACTCTTAGTAAAAGCAAGCACTTAAGTAAGCCAACAAACCCTGAGTGAAGGTGTTGCTGGTTTCCCAGTGAAAGCATGGTAGAATGGGAAGGGAGAAGCTGCTCTGCAAGAGGAAAGCCACCCTTAGCTGGAACCCAGTACAGCTTAAGCAGCAGCATCAGACATAAGGAAATCCCCCAATGACACACGCTACCCAGTCACTGCAGCCACAGAAGAGAAGGTGAATTCAATCCAAATGGTTATTTATTCTAAAACTGGTAGCTACCGTGCCTACATTTTTGCCAGAATGTTGTAATGAGAACAGGGGAGGAAAAAGTTACAGATGTAAACAATGACACAATTACATTTTTTTAAAACGGTAAAACCCTTTTTATACTGGCCACTTCCAAGATGCTTTACAGGTTGTGCAAAAACATTTACAGGCTCCATGTGGTGGTTTTTCTCACAAGCTTTTCCACCTACAACAACTACAACAGACGTCTGATAAAACACTAAACAAGTCTTCTAAGGAAAACAAGGCTAGGGATCCCTCCTGTTAATCCACACTTCCCCCCTTAACATTGTTTTTTTTTCATAATAAAAAGACAGACACAAACAAAACCCAGACATCTACTGTTGTTGCGAGTGATCTCTTGGACTAAACCGACAAGGATGTGGCAGTTTCACTCTCCACCCACCTAGAAAGAGCTTTTTATGAAAAGATGACTTTCCAGTGTCAAAAGTGAACAGCAAGTACCCCCTGCCCCCCAAAAAAACGCAAAGCGGCTTAAATTCTGTCCTTCCCCCTCCCGCCCTGAGGACCTAGCATCCCCAAACCGTGCTGTAGACTATAAAAAGATGCTATTTGCTGCAGGACTAAACATTTGAATAGGGCTGGCAGTTTCTGCCACGGAGTCAATTTTCTGTTATAATCTTGCCCTAAGGGGAATGTCTTTGGGCTCCAGTTTTTATCTCCTTGCCCTGACACTGTAAGCACTAAAGCTTTCTCAAACACTCCCCTTAATGGTAATAAAAAGTGGGTTGCAGACTTCAGGCAATCACTTCACCCACTGCCACACACAAACCCACAGAAGCAGCAGGTGTCCGGAGAAAGAGAGGATGTCACTGTGAGCAAGCAAACATATTGCCTACCAGCACCCCATTCCAGCCTCTGGGTCAGAGGTCCTGGTGGAGCAGAGGGGTGTCCTAGACAGGTGACTGGAGGGCCAGAACCAGGGCCTGTGCACCCTCCTGGGCACGGCAGTAACCGTGGGAGAGGGAGATCAAATCTCAGCACAAAATTTTCAACAGAGGACTGCCCAGGTAAGGAAGTGGAAGTGAAGTGTTTTCTAGTAGCACAACCTGGGACTCCCCTCGCCAGGAAGTGCAGCAATGTGAGGTGTTTGCTGAGTAAGCTCTTGGCTGACACAATGCTGAGCAGGAAGGTGAATGAAAACTGAAGCTCAGTATTCAAAGAGCATTCCCACATCCCACCCATATTCTTGAACCAGCGACCTGAAGCTGTCTGTCAAGAACTAGGAGGGTGTTGGTAAAGTTACCATCCCAACTGAAGTCTCTTGGCTAGATGCCTCTCTGGGCCACGCAGGGAAGATGCCCCAGGAGGAGTCCTGTCGCCACAAGTCAGGAAGGGGTGCTCCTGTGCATGCACACGCTCACATTCACGCTCTTCTCAAGTTCCGGCAGCCCTACTGAGCTGCCTCCCACCCCCCACCCTCCCCTTTCCTAGTCACTCTCTACCTGTGTATCAAAAAAGCCAGCAGGGCCCTGGCCCTCCACACTGTATAAAATAGTTGCTATTCTCAGCACCTGGGCCCAGTAGCCCAACACCACAGGATTCACCTATATACATATCCTGCTGCAGTGAAAAGAATCCTGCTTCGTTTCTGTGTGAGCTGAAACCCTGAGAAACGTTCCTTCTCTAGAACCAGAAGAGGACAGATTCTCTAACAGAGATGATTTCAGAGACTTCCCGCCTGTCTCAGCCTTGGAAGACAAGAGAGCAGAGACCGGCAGATCACCATCTTCAGACTGAGGGCTGCAATCCCAACTCTTCTCCCAGATTTTATGGAAATCCATAAACGGGTACAGAGAGGCTACAAACTAGTCTACTCTCCAGTCACCAACAGTCCCCATGCCTCCTTGGCCTGGGGATCCTATATAATAGAACCGCCCAATTGGTAGCTGCCATGCCTTGGCCAAAAAGCACAGAGGCACGGGCACGTGGAGATAGGGACACTATGGCCGCCCAGCCCACCGGACCAGATATCCCGAGAGGGAAAGGTCGGTAAAGAAAATACAAACGGTTAGTTGGTGCAAGTGATTGATAAGAGCCAATCGTTTATTTTCACTGCCCCAGTCACAAGCTCGCCCTCTGCCCCGCTCCTGCCTGCTGTGGAGAGTGGGCACTCCTGAATGCTTCCCACCCTCTCCGCATCACCTCACCATCACTCTCCCTTACTCGGCTGCCAGTCCAGCTGCCTTAGAATGTCAGAAGGGTGACATTTTCATTTCTTTTCCTGTCCGACTGCAGGGTATATAGGACAGGCAGCCCTAAGTGCTGCTTTCTGAGCAAATGTTTTTTTTTTTTTGATTACAAATATCTAACTAGGTTTGAAATGTTTTATAGAATAAGACAATATTCTTTTCAACAAACTTTAAAAAAAATGTACAGTTTTGTTGTTTGTTTCCACCTCCCCCCGCCCCCACCCCTGCTTGCGCACCCTCCCCCCACCGCCCCTCCCCGGCAGCTCAGCCCCACCCCGACAGCCCCTGTTTTCCTTGGTTGTGTTTTGGGGGGTGCTTGGCACCCCCAGAGATTCAGCTTCGCGGCTGACAGGCGACAATGGCAGGGGCTTCACCGATACCCTTGGTAACCGTAGTAGTTCCTGTAGTATCGGTCTCTGTCCTGGGGATGGTGGTAGTAGTAACTCGGCCACTAGAAGAGAGGGGAGACCCCGTCACGTGAAGCCACAGCCGGCTGAGGACGGAGAGGCACGGTACTCCTCCCTCTGGTCCTGCCCGCCCCTGCATCTCTCCGTGCCCAGACGATACTCACCTCCCGATTATACTGCTGTCTGTAATAGTCTCTGTATCTGTTGTACTCATAATCTCGCCCATAGAATCGATCGTAGTCTCCCCTGTATCGATCGTAGAAGTTACGGTAACCCTGAGAAAAGGAGAAAGAGAAGGAGTGAAGATGCATGGGTCTGTAGCATCACAATCCCCTGCTAGCCCCCATCTTAAGTGAGATATATCTCTGCTTGGTATTATATACAGGCTTAATCTTCCCAGGATAAATTCTGCCAGACGAACCAATTCAACGGGCAAAACCCTAAGCCCTGAGAAAACAGCCCAAACCACTCTGCTCCCCAAAGCCAATAGGAATGGCTATCACGGCCCAGAGGGAGGAGCAGAAGGAGAGCTGCACTCACCCCTCTGTTTCCAGACTGCCCCCAGCACTGCTGCCCGTAGGCCCGGTTGTCGTAGCCTCGGCGCTGCCCGCCCACTGGAAGAGAAATGGAGAGCGCGCTCAGACAGCTGGCATGGGGTCCTGGCTCCACATCTGAGTGGAAATCAAAAAGTCGGAGCCAAAGGCAATTCTGGGGGAATAGGAGGCCTGCTTCTGTCAGGCTCACACAATGTTAATTAAAGCACCAGCCAGGATCTTTTAAAAAGTCTGAGGGGGGAAGGCAGAGGAACAGAGACATAGGAAAAACTAAGCCACCTTGGTTTCACTTTTTGAAGCCCCCCAATTCCTGCAAAACATTTAAGATGGCAAAAGGACACATGGCAGAGTTAGAAACATGAGTCAAACTGCCATTTGTAGAGCTGCAGACTTTCAGCCCTGGAAGGGATCTTGGGTATCACACAGCCCAAACCCATTTTACACAAATGAACAAAGTCTAAATGCCAAGCTCTTCCAAGGCAGGAACTGTTGGTATTCCCAGGGCCTAGCACGTAGCAAGCACTCAAAAAATTTTTTGCTGACTTACACTTAAAATTACACACACACACACACATTTGAATGCACATTGTGGGAGGGGGATCAAGGGGGTTAACTGACAAAACTAGATAACTGAGAGAGGAAATTAATTCCACTAATAAGCTAACTTACTTCATAACCCCCCAAATTACTGAATAATGCCTTCACTTTCTGATCTACATAGCTGGGTTGACCCAGTAGACAAAGAAAAAAAGAATCCTGCATAAATCCTTCAGATTAACTACAATAGTGAAGGGGGAATTCATATGTAAAAAATGAAAACTAGATAAATGAGCAGGTTCAAGCACTGCTCTTCAAGGAAACAAATACTTTGTTGAAAAATAACTACTTTTTGTTTCAAGATTATGGGAAAAGCACAAGAAGCTAGGAGTAAAGGACACAGGAAGAAATAAGCTCCATAAAGGGATGTCCTTAATGTTGGTGACCCGATGTGGTTGCCTGGCCTTTCCTGTGGGTCCAGCTGCACTTAGCACAGAGAACAGACTGAGGATGGGGCTGGCAGGTCCCCAGGACTTACCGTAGCCTTGGCCTCGGCTTCGGTTCTGCCGGTTACGCTTGTTTCGATTGTTCCGGCGGTTTGTCCGCTTCTCAGAGGGGGGCAGCAGCTTCCTTGCCTCCTCCTTGTATTTAGTGACAATGGGCTGAGCTTCCTCCTTCTCCAGCTCCCCATATGTCACCTCATCCATATAGTCGCATTTTTCAGGCAGAGAGAAGTTGGCTATAAGAGTAAGAGAGAAGCTCTGTGGACCTCCAAGTGCAAAAATGGGTAATATCTCATAATGAAAACTCCACTACAGGAAGAACAGGATTTTCTAAGCCTCATCTATAAATGCACAAAAATGCGCTGGGTTCACGCTACAAGTTCTTGCTAATTGCAACAGCCCCAGGCAAAGGGCTATCTGCAAACTGTAGATTTACAAGTTCTCAAGTGATCCATAATAAATTAAGAGTGAACTGGGTTAAGGTTTCTTATCAGGACAGAAGCAGGCAGCCAGAGAGTAAAAGTAACTGAGAAAGTTCTGGTGTAGTTAGATAAGAAATACACTTTTAAAAGAGACTCAAGAAGAAACTGACCCAAGCCTAAAGGCACTTACTTATCTGAGAACAGGAAGCAAGAGTACAGAGGTCTCACTGACCACCTGTGTAGGATGGGCCAGCACTGGTCTCTGGACATCAAGGTCAGAGGCCGAGTCCCAGTGGAATTCAGTTCAATGAGGTGCTCCAGATTGTTAAGTGAATCCAATTAGCCCTTAGTTTCATGAAATTGAACTAAATTCCTCCAAGTGCCCTCAAATCAGTTATGGACTGGTCTAGTTCATTCTGAGTAAACTTGAGCTCTTTAGTGTGAGACCAGCTCCCACGCCCAGGCATGATCAGAATTCAAAGAGCCAATAGCTGACGGCTCTGGTGGGATGCCAGGAGCTGAAGGCGGCACGGGGAAAAACCAAACTCAGAGGTGAACAGCAGAACTCCAGATCAATCAAGAAGATTAATACTGCCTTCCAGGGAACCTTGCTGTACAGCTTTATATGGCACACACCAAAAATCAACACCAACAAACAACGAAAATAAAAAAACAAGCCTAATGTGATATAGAAATCAAAACATACTGCTGAGATCATTCACTCCAACCACCACCATTTTCATCTGAACCATCAGAATGTTCCATCTCTAGAGCATAAATTCAGTGAAGGCAGAGCTTCATTTCATTCATTCTTTCCCTAAGTCTAGAACTATACTGGACAAATAGCAAACACGCCTTAAGTATTTACTGAATGAATAATTGACTCACTGAAGCCTCTGCCTTGAGTTTTGATTATCCTGTGACCTATCACCATTTTTTTTTTATCAGAATGAATCAAGGGGTTATTGCTTCACCATTCATTCTGCTCATTCATTATTCCACAAGTGATCACACTCATTAATTTATTCCTCAGATTTATACTTTACACGTGAAGAATCCTCCAGGTGCTAAGAGGCCCTAGGGAGGTGTGCATGGACCAAGGCCAGGATCTCTAACTTGTAGAGGTTAGCCCACCTTTCATCTCCAGCATTATAGACTCAGGCACATCATCTCCCTCCACTTCCTTCCTCAGCTCCAGCCTCTTCTTCCAGTCCTCCTCATTAGGGACAACCACCACCACTTTCCGGGAGAAAGTCTTAAACAGTAACAGCTTCCGCCGTTGGCCAGAGTTGTACACATTACACTAGGGACAGGAGAAGTAATAGATGTTTTAGGAGTAAAAGTTAAATTCAACCAACACTTACTGAGAATCCTTCACAAGTGAGGCACTAGATTAGAGGACTTATTTATACAGTCTCTAAATTCTTCAAAAGCTACATGATGTTTTCCTGTTTTACTCAACATGAACTTGAGAGTCAGAGAGACCAAGACTTGTCCAAGGCCACAAACCTAGTAAGTGGTGGAGTCATGAATCCAAAGCTACCACACTCTATCACCTCTATAGCGTGTTTTACAGCCTGGGTCCAAATACTCTCTGGTAAAAACATTGAGAAGTGTATCTCTCAATTCAAAAAAACATTACAACCATAATTCTTGGTTATAACTGGGTAACCTGATTCTGTTCCTTAATTTAGTCTTTATATATGCACCTTATTTTGACTCTGAGCCATTTTATCAGATTAAATGGATACCAAATCTTTTATCTTTGGACATATTGTTAAATTAGCTTTCTTTTGAATTTTTGAACAATACCTGATCAAGAATGAAGTTCCTCTTTGTCCGGGAAGCAATCTGGACCAGCTTACTAAGGCACTGGGAGGCTTGCTGAACTAAAAGGTCTCGGCTTTTGGGATCCATCTCTGGCTCCTCGAGCCCCTTCATCTGATGAGTTTAAGAGGAAGAGAAACACAAGAAATTACAAAGTAAGTTAAAGCCCAAGAGTCATTGGTAAATGCCACCAAGCCACCACATCAGCTCACTGCCATTTCTTAGTGCTGTGAATGCTGTCCATTTCCTACAGGACTTATTTCCAGTCTCATTCTGGATATGCCTGAAACACCCCAGGCTTCACCAGCTTTCAGAAATCTGATAACACAGCAAAGGAAAAAAAAACAAAAAAACAAAAACTCATTTCTTTATTTGTGGGGCCCCTGATCTCAGACACCTGAAAGACCCAACTCCATTGGGAAAAGATTATATAAGTTTCTTGGTATTTAAAAGCGAACACCAGAGTGATTTATCCCCTCCTACCAACTCACCCTCATTTGATTGAGCACAGTCTCAGCTCCCAGGACATTGTATCTTTTCTCAGGGTTTTCTTTTGCATATTTCAGGGCCCACTGGGTCTTTCCAGATCCAGGGAGTCCCACCATCAGAATCACCTGCAAGTAAATAGAACAAGAATGCTAATAAAAAAAAGACAAACCTGAGGGTCATGTTTACCAAGCCCAACTTAAGAACATCCTCCCCAGCTCCCAGTTGGGCAAAGCTTGAGCAGAAAGGTAAAAAGCATGAGCACCAATGTTCTGCACCCTCTCTGGCATACCTCACACTCCTCTATGGTCTTGGGAGGGACTGCAGTGCGCACGCGCTCCTCAACAGGCACTGCATGGATGAACACAAACTCTTCTGGTGGTGGGAAGAAGGGCTCCTCCTTCTGACCAAAATTTAATTCTACAACACAATTTTTGCAGAGGACGTGGGGTAGGAGGGCCCGATCTGCTAGGGATTCCTTGCTGATACGGAATGCCACACCGAGGCCTTCTCCATTCTTGGAAAAGGAAAGTTCTACTTCTTCAGCTTCAAAATTCTACAACAAAAGACAAGAGCATTTATGGGCACACAGGGCTTGCAGTTGATTAATCTCACAACTCAATCTTTTTTCCCCTTACTTCAACTGCTACACAACTATGCAAGCAATGCATCAACTGCAGAAAAGCAGCAGCTGATGGGACGTGAAGGGATCTCCAGCACCCTCCATCCACTCTATGCTACAACCCACAACTTTCAGGAGCACTTACAGCAAAGCAGCCAATGACATCATTCTCCCCAAAAGTCTGGCCAAATTCCTCAAATTGCCCATTCTCTGCCTTGAGTCCTCGTCCGTCGAAACCATAAGAGAATTCATCCTCACCTAGAAAAATCAGCAAATTAGTTTACCTACACTCAAACTTCCCACAGAGCAGCAAACACAAACACGATTAAGTTAAAGATTACTTTACCAAGCTGTGGATGGGAAAAATCAACAGACCATCCAACTCGAAGGAGAGAAACCTCTGTGCAGCCTTCTTTCATTGGGAGGTTCTGGGTTACCTGGCCAAGTCAGAAAAGGAACTCTTCAGATATTCTGACCAACTCAAGCAAAGTCAGAGTCAGAAAGACAAGATTTTGATACAAACCAGAAACAACAACTATCACAACTCAGCGTCAGAAAAACAACTGTCGATGAACGTAAACCAAAGTCATGAGGGTTAATTCCTTGGTTACTAGAGCTAAGGTCATCTTTCAAGTATGGTACCTTTCTCTAATAAAATACTGGTGGATGCAAGTCCAGTATAGAGTAGTTTAATGACTAATTTAATAAATGAATGGTCCTAATGAGCGGTACACACTACCTTGGCCTCAAAGCAGACTTTCCCCTTTGTCACTCCATAAGTACTTCTGGCCCCAGACCAAAGGGTGGGGAACTTCTCTGAGAAAAGTGGCTGCCCTCCATAGCGGTCTTTGCTGACTTGAAAATGGAGATCGGAGGTATCTGTTAAGAAAGAAGCAATCTTTTTACTCCAATGTGCAACATTCTAAGCCTTCAAAAGAACACAAATGTACCCAGTTCTCAAGAATGGATACAAAGTCTAAATCTCTTAAAAGCTGCAGGCCAGGAAGTTTTTAAGCCCCAAAATCTCTTTTGATTGGTTTAAAACCCCAACCTGTCTGCCTTATACATACAGAGGTCCAGGTTCACAACATTTGATTGGCTGAAACCCCTAACCTGTCCGACTTATACATACACGTGTCCAGGTTCACAAGAGTGTGATCCTCTTCCTCATCTTTCACCTCTTCTTCTGGGGGTGGCGGAGACTTTGAGCTACACGTATGAGAGAAAAGCAAATATAATGTAACCAAAGTCCTTTAATTCGAGAGGTGTCTGCATGACTTTATGTCTGTTAAACTACCAGTGAATATAAAATTCCAGCAGGCAGCTTCTTTCAGCAAATGAGAAAAGGGCAAGGGAAGCGTTCAGGGTGGATTCGATCAAAGACTTAGGCCTATAAGAACCTATTCCATTTTTAATCCACCCCTTTTTTCCAGACTCTCCAGTCAACATCAGGTATATCAAAATTGGAGCAGAGACTCCCTTCAATGAAAGGGACTGTTTCCCTCACCGGCTGTGGTAGGCCTCCTCTCGGAATTCATAGTAAGCTCGGCCATGTTCATCCTTCTCATCCCGCTGTCTCTTTACCCCCCGCCGCTCACCATCTGAGCCTGCTGGTTTTGATTTTTCACTATCTTGGTCATCTCCTACAAAAATGAGGGAAAGAAAAACAGCAGTTTTCATACTGGAGTGTAGAATAAGCTCTGAACCAACAGAAACTAAAGGAGGACCTGCATATCTGTCTAGTCAGAAGAGCCAGGTTATTCCCACTGCATCCACAGAATGTTTTATTTCCAAAGATTATCTTTCTGTCATTGGATGGTATTATTATTATTATATTTTTTAAAAAGGACATTATGGGCTAATTACAGTCAAAAAGTAGATTAAAAGTTGGGCAATTTTTGCATTCTAAATTTATCTGCTTAAATCAGGTCAAACTTGCAGATTTTCCCACTCATACAACATAAAAGAAACATGCTATAAGTTTTTTAAAAACTTCATAGCTTAACACTGATTCTTGACTATCAGATTTGGATTTAAGCTAAAGACCTAATGTATATTTTCAACACTTTCCCACAGTGTTGTGTTACAGAAGCCTCAATTTCTTTCTTTCTTTCTTGAAGAGTTTGACTTTCCAGCTTTAAAATGCACAGCCATCCACAGCTTTACTTACATAGCAAATGAACTCTGGAACTTTATACAGAACTGTTACCATAGGTTTTTACTGAAACTTGCAAGAACAAACCATTAAGTCACAAGAGAGCCATAAATAATACTGCATCTTTACCTCACATAATTTGGGGCAGAAAGGTGTTGTCATATATTTAGTAACATTCTTTACAGGAGGAGGAAAAAAAAACAAACAGAATTTTTCCGTGGACTTTTGTGGTTTGCAACACTAACACTAAAGGTTTTTAATAATAACCTCTCTAAAGAAGTTCTTTCTCTCTCAAGCTTTTTTACCTGCTCTTTGGGGGTGCACATTAAGACAAAGATTATGTAATGGGATTTTTGTTCCAGGACATAGCACAAGCTGCAAGTTGCATGTGACTGTTGTAGAATGGGTTCCAATTATACCATCATACCCAGCAGCAGCCTAAAAACTGTATTATAAAAGGAACTAAAAGCAAGCCACTTCATAGTAAGAATGGGAAGCAGCTCTAGTTTTCCTCCCACTCTGACAGATAGTTATGGATCAGCTGTAACCATCCAATCACTTCAAAGGAAGAGAGGAAGGTCACTAACTCCCCGGGGCACCTCTATACATTCTCTTCCACAAGGTTATTCAATGGACCCACCAACACCCCAATCATTTCATCAGGAAGTCAGGGATCCAAAATGTAAAAGACTAGCTAAGTATACAGTAAACATACAAATTTGCCCTTCTACATCCACTCAAATGAAAGATTAAAATTTAATCATAATCCAGGCAAGGTAAAACCCCTAGCCAAGTAACGTTAGCTAACTTATTCTAAATGTTCTAGATTAAGACTTTCTCTTTCCTAGTTAACTATTAAACTTGACACCCTCACACCGAAGCAGGAGCTGCTGCAAAAGCAGGAGCAAGGTTAGATTTCCAGATTTTTAGTGTGGCTCAAACTCTAGTAATAAGCTTTTGATGGGGCGAACTCTTGACGAACTTAGCTTATTGCTTAATTTTATGGCGAAAAAGTAAACAGTCGGGTGGCCCAAAGGCCCAAGCCTCCAACAGTCGGTCTGGTTGTCCATGTAATCAACAATTCCTAGGTTTAGGAAAAGATAAGGACCGCACCGCGGGAGGCTGCTCCAACAGGTAGCTCGTAACCATTTCGCATGGGAAACCACTTTATTTCCATTCACTACCACCAAGCAAGCAATCCAGTTAGGAAGGAACCTCCCTCCTGCAAAGAGTGGGGCCACTAGAGGTAGACAAACCCTCCGGAAATGAGGGGAGAGGACTAAAACCACCTCCCCTGAGAAGTCCCGGCAAACGGCGAAGGGAATCGGGACCCCGAGGTGCAGGGCTCCGTGCTGGGTCAGGGGCGCACCCGGCAGGTTGGAGCCCGGCTCCGCTGCCAGCTCCTCACCCTGTTCCTCTGCGGCCTTGTCACCCGGCGCCTCGGATCCCGGCGTCTCGTCTCCGCTCCGCTCCTCCGGTTCATCTTCCTCCCCCTTGCCGGTGCCCTGCTCTTCGCCACCGTTTACCCCACCTGACTCGGCTGTGGCCTCCTCCGCCGCTTTCTCGGAAGCATCGGGCTCCGCCTCGGCCTCCACGGCTGCCGCCTCCGGGGGCTCCGGCGGCGGCTGCGCGGCCTGGCCCGAGGCCTGGGCAGGGGGAGGCTCTTCGTCCTCGTCCTCAAGCAGCGCCTCCTCGTCCTCCTCCTCCTCCTCTTCGTCCTCCTCCTCGTCCCCGCCCGGGCCGCCGCCCGACGCGGCCACAGGCCGAGGCTCCGCCTTGCAGGCCCCGCCGGGCCCGGCCCCGCCACCGCCGGCCTCGTCCTCGAGCATCTCAGCGTCCAGCGCCTCCTGCAACCGCTGCGCCAGATCCACCTTGAGGCCGCGCGAGTCCAAGCCGCGCCGCTGCAGCTCCGACCGCAGCTCGGTCACTTTCAGCCGCTTCACCTCCATCGCCGCCGCCTCCTCCGCCTCCCGCCGCCTCCTCCCCTGCGAACCGTCGACCGAGCCCGACTGCGCAGGCGCCGCCTCCGCCTCACGCGCCAGCACGGAGCCCGCGCGAGCGAGCGCACGCACGCACGCACGCAGGCAGGCAGGCAGCCAGGCTGGCAGGCGGTGGGCCGCGCGCTGCCTGCGCTACGTAGTGTTTATTTCTCGCCCCTCCTCCCTCCCCCTTTCGGCCCCCGGAGCCCAAAACAACGCAGCGGAAAGCTGCTTCCTCTCCAGCCGACCCTCGGCTCCTCTGCCGCGGGCGGGCGCGCGCCCAGGACGACGGACTTCCCTCCGTTTACCTCCCGCCCCTCTCACCCCCTGGGCCAATCGCCGCTGGCGGCTTCACGGCGCAGCCGCACCGGAGCCGGAGTCGGGAAAAGCCTGGCTTCGGCCCAAGTGCCTCGTCGCACCGAGGCGTGTGCGTACCCCACTCTCCGTACTTCCAGCGGGGGCTGCGCAGCCGCCTGGAGCTCCTTCGCCACACGCGCCTCCCACTCCGTCACCCCGCCCCCCACCCTCAGTCCCGTCTGATCCGATCGTGCTGTCGTCGTAGGGCTTGTTCGGTAGTCTCTGTCCCTTAGTTTATACAAGCAGCCACTTCTTGAGGGAAAAAAAAGCCAGAAAGGAAGAAAGGAGACTCTTGAAACGTGAACTCCTTCTGGCAATTGTCTTTCTGGTTGGTCAACAAAAGGACTTTCCAAACCCAAGGAATGCAGAAACCCCAGCCCTCCTATTCCCTCAAGTCTTCAATTTCTACCTAGCAACACACACTCTGACCTCGCCTTATTGGCCAGCTTGAATCGTTATCTGTAATTCTGATTGGTCTTCTATGATCTTGCAGTTTTTATTTATTTTTTTTAATTGACGAAGCAGCCGGGGGACTCCCCCCTCCCCCCTGGGTTGCTCCGCAAGGGAGGCTAGAGAGGCGGGGTCGTGTCAGTGGGATTCCTTTTCCTGGGCCGCTGCTGATTGGGCTCGTGGTGCAATGCGCGCGACCCTTCAGACACCAAGCTCTTGGGAGGCTGGACCCTGACTTCTCCGTGCTCCCCGTTTGTAAAGCGAAGTGCGGCGAAGAGACTTCGGGTTTGGCCTGTTGCAAGGGGGCGGGGAGCTGGGCGTAAGGGAGCTTGCAGCTGGGCGGCGCTACGGCCTACGGTTGGGGTGCACGGACTGCGTTCACCTCGGTTCCCCAGCTCCCGGCCCAGAAGTCAACAAATGCTGTTGAGTAAGTGCAAACAAAGAGCTGGGATGAAGACAAGCCCCCTAGACCCTTTTTAGCAGTTGTTCCCGCCTACTCCCTTCCGCTTCCGAGTCAGGGAGGTGTGTCCGAACGAAAGGAGGAAACAAGAGCCGCCGGCGTTCAGACGCCGGCCACGATTCCTTAGTTACGGCCTTATAGTTTTCGTGGGTTTTTCTCACCCGGGAGTCGCCGCTTTGGGAAATCAATTAATCTCAGGTTTTGCTGTTCCCACATCTACTTCCTGATCAGATGCTTGCACTTCCAGAGATTAAAAAATAACTGGAGAGAAGAAAGGAAGGGGCTGTAGTAGAATCAAGCAATCATTCCCTGAGAGGCCTCCTGGAGAAGGAGAATTTCCTTGCTTTTTTAAGTCAGCTGCCAAAATTGGCTGCCTCGCTCCTATTCCTAGAGCTTCGGTTATTCTTTCACGTCCCAATTCCTCAAGAGCACTGGGCGACAGAGTTATGGAGAAGCGCCTGCAGGAGGCTCAGCTGTACAAGGAGAAAGGGAACCAGTGTTACCGGGAAGGGAAGTACCGGGATGCTGTAAGTGGGTACCATCGAGCTCTGCTGCAGCTGCGGGGTCTGGATCCGAGTCTGCCCTCCCCGATACCTAATCTGGGACCTCAGGGCCCCGCCCTCACACCTGAACAAGAAAACCTACTGCACACCACCCAGACAGATTGCTACAACAACCTGGCTGGTAAGAACAGGGCTGACGGGAGGGTATAATGTCAAGGCCGGTACATGAAAGTTTGAGAGTATTGGGAAAAACACTGACGGCTCTTCTGTCGTTATCTAGTTATTCTGCCATGAATTGCAATATACTTTCAATCTGTGGGGTTCTAATTGAGTTTCGGTGCTTCTCAGACTTCACTTGGAGAGTTTTTTTAAACACAATTTCCTGAGCTTACCATGATTCCGATTTAATAGGTCTGAGGTTTGTGAGTTGTGTGTACCAATTGCTTTTCTATCAGACTCCCAGGTGATGGCTAGTAGGTTTAAGGAATTTTTTACGACTTCCTGGTGGCTCAGATGGTAAAGCGTCTGCCTGCAATGCGGGAGGGAGAAGGCAATGGCAACCCACTCTAGTACTCTTGCCTGGAGAATCCCATGGACGGAGGAGCCTGGTGGGCTGCAGTCCATTGGGGTCGCTAGGAGTCGGACACAACTGAGCGACTTCAGTTTCCCTTTATACTTTCACACATTGGAGAAGGAAATGGCAACCCACTCCAGTGTTCTTGCCTGGAGAATCCCAGGGACAGGGAGCCTGGTGGGCTGCCATCTATGGGGTCACACAGAGTCGGACACGACTGAAGCGACTTGGCAGCTTGGCAGTGCGGGAGACCTGGATTCAATCCCTGGGTCGGGGAGATCCCCTGGAGAAGGAAATGGCGACCCACCCCAGTATTCTTGCCTGGAAAATCCCATGGATGGAGGAGCCTGGAGGGCTACAGTCCATGAGGTCGCAAAGAGTTGGACATGATCGAGGAACTAACACACAGAAAATACTGAACCTGATGCTGAGCTCAGCTTGTTTGTACACTGGTACCGAATCAAATCTCAGAGACAGAGTTTTGGGTGAAGTAGAAAAGAATAGCTCTATTGTTTTGCCAGGCAAAGGGGAACACAGCAGGCTCCTGCCTTCAGAACCGAGTCCCCACCTGGGGAAGATACTGTGAGATTTTATATTAATTGTCCAAAGAATGTAATCATCTCAAGGACATTTTTTCTAATGGGTTGGTGGTGAGATAAGTAAGGGTTAGCATCATTGACCTTCAGGTTCAGCTGGTCTGGGGTCTTCGCTGCTCCTGGGTAGCATACCTTTGTTAATTGTTAACTTCTCCCATCTGGAGGTGGTGTCGGTATCCGGAAACTAGTTTAAGATATTGTTGAAGACTGTCCTTGGGGAAACAGGACCTTGCCTCAAGGCTGCTCTTGACTGCTCTCCTTTGTCTCCCAACCCCACCCTTCCCTAATTAACAATTGCTTGAATCTGCCCTTCAGAACTTAGGGAAGGTCATGGAGGCTGAATGCAGACTATTTCCTATAATCAAAGAAATGGCAGACACAAAAAGCCCTTGTGCCCAGAAGCCCCAAAGGACCCTGCACAGTATCAAACCTATGTTTAGACCGATGTTTCTTTAATATTTAAAATTTAGGAAAGAAGGCACTTGCTTCAGCTGGTAATGTAAGTCATCAATTTTAGATGTTTTGGATAGCTTTTCCTCATTTTCCTCCTTCCTATATAAAGCAGCTAGATGATACCTCGAGTAACTTGTACCTTCCAAATCCAGCTGGCCTTGCATGGAGAAATAAAGTCCAGAGTTGGTATCACTCGGATTAATCTGCTTAAAGAAAGGAGAGTTCTGAAGTCTGTTCTGTGGCAGGCAAAGTAACCATAGAGCTAATTAAGTTGTTTTGAAGTATATACTTTGTAATCATTGTTTAAATTTTTTTTCTTTTTTACTACCCTGGTCCGCAATGATTTGGTGAAATTCTAGCTTTTTTACAGAGTGTGTCCAAAACTATTCTTAGACTCAAGTAACAGTAATTATAGTAGCTACTATTTCAGTTCATTCAATTATTTTTTGAATAAATTAATATTTATTGAAACTGGGTATATCGCAGTATAGTAAAACAGATAAAGATCCCTGCTGTCATGGGGAGATGGATAATTAACCAAAGAGATAACTTGTGTATCAGACAGTGTTGGCTGAAAAAGATGCATAAGGAGAGAGTTGTGAGTTAAGTTTTACTTGGGGCAGAATGAGGACTGCAGCCCAGGAGACAGCACCTCAGACAGCTAAAAAAAAAAACTGCTCCAAAGAGGCAGTGTGGGGAGTCAGTATATAAGATTTTGGTGAAGGGGGAGGGAGTTCAATCTAAAGACCTGTTCCACCTGTTTTCCTGGGGCACGAAGTGCCTTATTCTCCACTCTGAACTCCCTCAGGGCATGTCAAGGCCTGCAGCTGCAGTAGCCCAGGATTCAGCCTCCTGCTGTTGGCAAGCACCCATTTGTAGTTGACAAAGATGATAAGTAACATGGAAAAGGATAAAGCAGAAAATGGGTATATGGACTTCCCTGGCAGGCCAGTGGTTAGGATGCCATGCTTCTAAAGCAGAGGGTGCCAGTTCAATCCTTGGTGGAAACACAAAGATCCCACATGCAGCATGGCTTAGCCAAAAGAAAGAAAATGGAACTAGTGAGTGCCATAGGCATGGTAGTGGTTAGGGAAGGCTCATTAAGGTGACATTTATGAAATGCCAGTATAAGCCCTTGATACATATATACATATAAACCTTAAGTGTCACAGCAATCCTTTGAGGTAGATTTAAGGAACATCTAGTAAGTGGTGGAGCTCAAATTAAACCTGACAAGTCCACTTTTTTGTGGCTGTGCTGGGTCTTTGTTCCTGCGAGGACTTTTCTCTAGTTTGGCGAGCGGGGGCCACTCTAGTTGAGGTGCTTGGGCTTCTCATTGGGGTGGTTTCCCTTGTTGTGGCTCATGGGCCCTAGATCACAAGCGCGATAGTTGTGAGACATGGGCTTACTTGCTCTCTGGCATGTGGGATCTTCCCGGGTCAGGGATCGAACCCATGTCTCCTGTATTGGCCAGTGGATTCTTTACCACTGAGCCACCAGGGAAGCCTCTGTACTTAAGTTCTTATTGCAGAATACTGTATATTAGAGAATAGAATACACCTTGGGGAATTGGCCAGAAATCAAGGAAATGAGATACATACTCATCTTGACTGTCCAGGTGGACCTGAAGGCAGAGACTGGGGCTTATCCATCTGTAGACCCTCTGCTTGGAGGTTCTTGGTAGATGTTTCCTAAAGCCTCACTAAAATTAAGAAATTTCACTTACATGACAGTGACATTTACATGTTGGGCAGTTTATTTATAGTACCTCTCATCTTCACAAAAATTCTGCAAGGTAGTAATGATTTTCCCCACTTCACAGATAAGGAAATCAGACCTCATCGCTAAAACCCTCCAATGGCATCTTATTATACTTAGGAAAATATTCGCAACCTGGCATGATCTGGCTCCTCCGTAGACTGAATTCAGAAAGCATACACCCACCTTCCGGCTTGGTAGGCTCTCTTCTTTTGGCTGGAATGCCCTGTCCCTTGAATGACCCTTGTCATTCACATCTTGGCCCCAAAGTCACTTTCTCAGGGACGCCTTCTGTAATCAAGCATCACTCTGACCTTATTCAGTCTCTGTCCCAGTACAGTTCTGTTTTCCACAAAGCACAACAAATAAGTGAATTTGTTAGTGTGTTCCTCCTCCCTGGGAATTAGGATGCAAGCTCTAATCACTCACCAAGATGTCTTATTTTGTTCCTCTTTTTCTCCTGCTCCTACTTCCACCTAGCACATGGTCATTACCCTAGAACTAGTTGTAGAATGAAGGAACGATGGGTTACATCACGGTAACCTGTCAGTGATGGGTTAGTTGAACGCTGGGGAAACACCTAAGTATGAACCATATGGCCACTTGGTGGGGATGTTGTAGAAGGGATGCAGACATCAGCCCTGATACTTCTTCCTTCCCAGCACATGATTTAATAATGTTGTGTGTAATTCCCACAGTTGTTAAACAGGAAATGCATTTCCCTTAATTACAGAAAGACAGAACATTGACCTGAAAATTGTCTCCTACACAGATTTGTGCTTTGAGGTCCCATCCTTTTATTCAAGGAATTTGTGAGATAATATATCATCATTGAGAAGGGTAATTTTTGAGTTAGTCTTTGGTTCAGATTTCTTACTCATTCCACCTAGAAGCTGTGGGATCCTAGACAAGTTACTTTACCTTTGTGAGCCTTAATTTCTTCATCCATTAAATGGAGATGCTAATACATACTGACTTCAGAGGGTGGATGAGAAGATGAAACAAGCCCCTTGCGCAGTGCTTACTGTTTACTCACACTATTAATGGCAGTGGTGGTTGTTACTAGGACCTCAGGACAAGAATTGTGGTGAAATGGGAGATTCAAGATAGAGAGCTTTGGGTAGAAGAGAGACAATGAAGAGTTTTAAATAATTTTTTTTTTTGCCATGTGGTATGCCAGATCCAGTTCCCAAGCAAGGATCAAACCCCTGCCCCCCAAGAGTTCCAACCACTGGACCGCCAGGGAAGTCCCCATAAATTTAAAGTATAGTCTAATCAACTTTTAAAAAATTATTTAATATGGTTGCGCAGGTTTTTCTGTAGGTGCAGTGCCTTGGGCTTCTTTGTGGGGTGGCTTCTCTTGTTGCAAAGCACAGACTCTAGGGCACTTGGACTTGAGTAGTTGCTGTGGGTGGGCTCAGTAGTTGAGCTCCCAGGCTCTGGAGCACAGGCTTAGTAGTGGTGGTACAAGGGCTTAGTCTCTCCTTGGCACGTGAGATCTTTCCGGATCAGGGCCCATATCTCCTGCATCGGCAGGTGGCTAACCACTGGACCATGAGGGAAGCCCTAGTCTTAGCAACTTTTATAGCTGGGCCTGACCCACACTAGGTATTGGGTTGGCCAAAAAGTTCGAGTTTTTCCATAATATCTTGCAGAAAAACCCGAACAAGCTTTCTGGCCAGCCCAACACACAATGGGCATTTGCTCGATAGTAAAGTAGACTGAGGTATGTAAAACTTGTATTCACTGCCACATCCCCAATGGCTAGAATAACGTCTGACACATGGTGGACACGTAAATGTATTTGTTGGGTGAGTGAATGTTGTTGATAGCATCCTGGATTTGGTACTGCCTTGTGTTGGGCAATGGAACATCGTGTAATAAGGTCCTCTTCTCTCTTCCTTCCATTTGCCGCCATTAGCCTGTCTCCTTCAGATGGAACCAGTAAACTATGAACGAGTGAAAGAATACAGCCAGAAAGTCCTGGAGCGGCAGCCTGATAATGCCAAGGCCTTGTATCGGGCTGGAGTGGCCTTTTTCCACCTGCAGGACTATGACCAGGCCCGGCACTACCTCATGGCTGCTGTCAATAGGAAGCCCAAAGGTGAGAGAAGGGGGCTGAAGTGGGAAGCACAAAAAACGTTCTATTGAGGTAGTATCTGTGGGAGAGGATTTTAGTTCATTTTTCAATGTATTGTGAAAATAGGTAATAATATATTCACCCATTCAATATTCAAAAAGTATAAAAAGATGTATGACAATGTATGACATACAGGCCTTCTACTCATGAATTCCAAGTTTCAATTCCTATATGGAGACTAAAATAGGATCTAGATTCCAATGAATAAACTTGATAATCCTTGTTTCTACCAGTTCTCCAGTTGAGGTCTGGCTTTTGCATGGCTATCCATTTATCCTTTAGCTTGGCTAACCCCAGGTATGACCTTGGACAGGCCTCCTGAGAATTTGAGGCTTGTTTTCAAGGCAAAATGGATATCGTCAAGAGAATGATAAACTTGTTCCTGTGTTGGTGGTTCAGCTCTGAAAATTGTCTCCAATTTTGCATTATGGCTTAGAGCAGCTACTGAAGAGGGTCCCCAAATGTAAAATAATTCAGCAGAACCACTCTATTTGAATGGAGAAGTCACTAAAGTGTCAGTTACCCGGGTTTCCTGCATTGCAGGCAGATTCTTTACCATCTGAGCCACCAGGGAAGCCCAGAAAAGTCATTATAAATTAATAAAGATATAAAATATGAACCATTGCTCATGTTTCTTATCTTCAAGTACACAGATTAACTGCTACCCATGCATAGTAGGTTTAGAGGCGATGCTCTTAAAATTACTGTTTCTTCCAGCTCCTTTTCATTATTAAGTTAGAAACCAGCCCAGCCTTGTGCAATAATTTTTAAAATATATATATTTATTTATTTGTCTGCATCAGGGTTTATTGCCACATGTGACCTCTCTAGTTGTGGCACAGGGATTTAGTTGCTCCACATGTTGAAAATAGGTGATAATACATGTCGTGGGACGGCTAAGTCCCTGTGCCACAACTAGAGAGGATCTTAGTTCCCTGATCAAGGATCAAACATTTGGCATTGGAAGGTAGATTCTTAACCACTGGACCACCAGGGAAGTCGCTATACAAGATTCTTTAAAAATTAAAAGTGGTATTAATGAATGAAATGTACTGTTGCATAGAATAGTTGTGATATACGCAGATCTTAGAAATTTTAAGAAATGGAAGTGTGCTCACAATCCTCTCCTGCCTGGAGGTACAATTACACGGTCTGTCTCTGATTGCCGCCTTTGTCCTGTTCTAAGATGCCAATGTCCGGAGGTACCTTCAGCGGACACAGTTGGAACTCAGCAGCTACCATCGGAAAGAGAAGCAGCTCTACCTGGGCATGTTTGGTTAAAGGAAGAACAGTGCCCTTCCACTTGAACTTAGATGAACCATTAAAGACCCATCAAAGGGAAACCTGAGCCTCAGCAAGAGAAGTTAACCCCATACCTCTGACTGAGGTGAACTTCTGTTTTGTTTTTAGTGCTGCCCAAACTTCTATCACTTGCATAGTCTGTGTTTTTGTTTCTCCCATCTTTCTATTTATATGGCTTTTAATATATGGTATTATATATCAGAAACATTTGCCTTGAGAAATACAACCAGAAAACATTCATCAGCTATGGGTGGATTAATCAGAGCTCTGGCATAGATTTTGATGATAGATGTTGGTAGATGTAGTCATATACAAAGGAGAAGGCTTAGGAGAAGATGAAGTAATAAGGACAGGCAGAAAGCATTTTTTTTCCTTCGTTTCCTCAGATTCCTAAAGCCAAAATGGGAAGCCCTTACACAGGTCACAAACTGGCAAATATATGCTGTGAAACTAGACAATTATACATTGGACCCACATACCTCAAAATGAAAGATTTCAAAGTAACTGCTTGATTAACTCCTTTTTCTTAATGTTCCACATACATCGAGATTCTTTATCCTCCACAAAAGTATCTAGTTCCTCTTGCTTCTCTGGATAATTTCTAACTATTGTAGCCTTGCTATTGTTCACACTCAGATCATAGTATACTTATTTATTTTTTTTTATTAAACCCTTCTATCTTAAAACCCCTGGAGTCAAGCATCTAAGTATATATTTTATAACCGTTCAAAAAGACCTCATGCCAGAAAACTCATTAACACTTTAATTTTTAATAGGTGCATACCTGTAGCATGCTCATTTCTCTAATAAAGGAAAGACAGTTTACCAAGTCTTCTAAAAACAATACGATAAAGAACAGGATAGAACCATAGATCTGTTTTTTACCTGTCACCTTGTATTTCTTAAGAACTCCATTCCTTAAAGAGGAGGGAAATTGAGGAAAGGTTCTCTTTGCTTTGTGCCTTTTAAGCACCGACAGAACTTTCTGGAAGCTTGGTGCAGGCTGCAGGTGCAGGCTGCAGATCTGGTCCAGATGGCTCAGTAGGAGGCTTCCTCAACCGGGAGCTCCTTTCTCATTTTGCACACTTATTCTAATGTCCACAGTGTATGAGTTATACAGAGCAGATGAGATCATAATAGCTCTGCGTCTATATTTATGAATGAAAGTAATAAGTATATGTCATTAGCCATCATATAAACACAGTTTTCAGACAAAAACTTCTTGGTCTTGCCAAGTGTACACGAGCTCCTCTCTCTTAATCAGTAACGTGTCTCTCTCGATGAGCTAGGCTCCTCTCTATGTCTCCCTGTACTCTTAAATAGTACAACCATCAGCTTATAACAAAGTCTTTTTTTTTTTTTTTAACAAAAAGTCTTTATACCAAATAGTCTTTTAAGTCCAAGGACACAACTAACAAAAGAGGAATATTTTATTCCTCTTCCAAGCTTCTTAAATTTCCAAGCCTAGACTGTTGCCAAATTATGTCATGGTTATGTGTTATCTTTGGGGCTGGTTTTGCTTTCTGATTTTCTTTTTTTTTTCCCCCCGAGACTTGATGTTACAGTAAGCTATGTTCTGTATCAATGAGGAAAAAATAAAGCTGATATTTAAAAATGTATTGTAGATGTGTATTGCACTAATCTTTTTTTTTTTTTTTTTTTTTAGCATTACTAAGAGATAAAGTGGTCAGACTTACATTTTGGTCTTTAATTTTAAGGCCAGCTCTAACAAAGATGTTAATGAATGGGAAAGTGGACAAAGGTAGGCAGTCAGATATGGGTCTGGAGGAGGTCTGCCCAGCCCACATCCTGAAGGAATCAGGTGGCTAAATCTGTGTACTCAGAAGTTTGTGGAGCGGGAAGCAGTGCACCTGACCAGTCCTTAAGGGTTTCCACACAGGATTTGAGAGTTTGATTGAAGAGAAAGCGTTCATGGTGATGTGAAGATTCGTACTTGGGCACATAAGGAACAATTGAAAATGGTGTTTCCCCCAAACCAATACCCACCACCTTTACAATTTTGCCAAAATAACACACACCTATATTACTTTTTAGTCAACATTTTATTTAAATATATATTTTGAAAGGAATTTTTGGACAGAGGAACATGTTAAATGATACCATAGGAAGGTAATCAGCAAACCCCAGACTGAAACCATAAGATGCAAAAACCAATTTCTGCAATAAATTGCAAGGAAAAGGAGAGGGGATTCTATATCTTAAAAAGAGGTTTGAGACACATCAGCCAAATAAATATGACTCTACTTTGGATTCTTATTTGAAGAAAAAATTTTATGAAACTGAAATAATGAAAAAAAATTATAGGTCTCCGAAGTCCTGGCACAGAGCTCCTAAAACCCTTAGAATTTGGATTCTGATTTAAAAAAAAAAAAAGAACTTTATGGGACAATCAGGAAGCTCTGAACAAGAATTATCAGTTTGTTGGGTGTGATCATAGTGGTTGTTGTTTAGTCATTCAGTCGTGTCTGACTCTCTGACACCATGGACCATATCCCAACAGGCTCCTCTGTCCATGGGAATTTTCCAGGCAAGATTACTGGAATGGGTTGCCATTTCCTTCTCCAGGGTATCTTCCTGACCCAGGTGATCATGGTATTTGGTCCTTTTTTTTTTCTTCTTTAAGAGTCCTTTTAGAGATGGCATGCTGAAATTGCTTACTGATAAAATTGAGGTGGGGACTTTAGAGCACTTTATATTATTTGCCCAAGAAAAAAAAACCAACCAACCAACCATAAAAATAAATATTAGTATATATCCAAGTAAAGCATCTTTGGAATCACTGGCTTTGGAGAAATTGAAATCAAATGTGAAGGGCTAAATGGTGAGTTTTGTGAAGCTAAGGGCAAGTGAAGTCATATGCTTACAAAATAGCCAATTAAGAAAAGCAGTGAAATCCTAAACTAGGAATATGTTTCTAAAACTGGAGAGCAAAGGGTGGTTGTCTGAAAACTAAATCAACTTGGAGCTCAAAAGCAAGTAACTTCTTGGGTTAAACTCTTAGTAGCCTGGGGCCTGACCCATCCCACCATCGGAGGCCGATTTTGGCTCAGTAGAAGTAATTATTAGTGCTTAGGGTTGCCCAACAGTTAGATTTCCTTTGGGGATAGTGAGTTCTCTTTCAAGCAGAGGTTCAACACTTGGCAAAAGGAGGATCCAGTGTTGGACTAGAGGTTATATGAGCTGACCTATGTTTCCTTGAATCCATGGATGGGGCCATCAAGAGAAGTGGAAACCAGAGAAACTTCTCTATTGATCACACCTCCACAGACAGGCATAAACTGTTCTTGGTGTCCAGCAGATGGATAAAGAGAGGCAACTGTGGCTGTAAGTGTGTTGGCTGCTGCTTTAAATGTCTTACAAATTCCTAGCTGCCACTTCCAATGAAGAAAGCATTCCATGCTGGGAACTAAAAGTAGATGCTCTTCAGGAGAATGTCACCAAGTAAAGATCCTCTTTAGATTGTATTGCACATGGCCAAGACAGTAACAATGGTTCCTGTGTCCCCCAGATGTCCAGAGAAATTATATACATGATATATACATATACACATATTATGCCTTGCTTTTAGGAACCATTCTGAGGCAACCGATTTCTCCTCCCCCCGCCCATCCCCAGCCCCATGTTTTTTTTTAATTGACAGATAATTCACAATCATAAAGTTCACTCTTTTAAAGGCAACTGATTTTTATAGGCAGTTTGATGTGATAGTTACTCTAGGAAAGACTTTGGAAAAGGTGCTCCACTCAGCTAAAATAGCTCTTACTGGGTTTATGTACATCTTGCCTTGTTTCACCAAGGAGTTAAGGCAGTAATGTATTTGCATAAATAAAATTAGGCATTTGAAAGATAAAAAGGTTATTCCAACACAAGGAAAACGAAAGGCATGGAATTCACTCCCAACCTTGGAAATGTTAAGCATCAACTTTTGCTCCCTATAATGTACCAGGTAAGGAAATTTCTTTGACCAAATATTTGCTCAGCTCTGTCTCCTTCCCTATGACTCAAAAACAGTAGCTTACTAGTAAGAGTTCACAGTGCTGAATGTAACAAATCCAAAAAGAGAAGAAATTCAGGAAATTCACTCATATTTTCATCTTCTAAATATTCCTTCCTGCTTTTTTGCACTCAGTTCCTTATGGGTCAAAGAGAAAGGGTTTGTGGGGAGCCCTCTGGCCCATCGTACAAACACCATTCTACCACAGGCAGGGGCAGACCCTTCTCTTGCATTTCTAGAATGCTTTATCCCGCATGCCACATCAACACCCCAACTTCCCATTTCTTCACTATCTCTATTGCCAGTAACCACCTGTGTGGTCATAGATGAGTGATTTGACCTGTCTAGGCTATCATCACACCTTTTAAGTGAGAAAGTTGGACTAGATGAACTCTGAGGTTCTCTTCCAGTGTTTCTTGCTTTCGTTTTCCCAAGTACCCATCATTTCCATTTCACAGGCCCTCAACCTCCCCACACACACCTACCACCACGGTAGTGTTTCCTGCCTTCCAGTTTGTCTTCAGAGACCTCAATCCACATATAAGAAGCAGGCAAAAATTTCAAGTCATCAATACAGTTTCTGTCGTTGAAACAGTCAACTAAGTCTTTCTACATGGAAAGCAGACAGAAAGGGGTAAGGCAACAAAACCAAACACTCAAAAAAGAAACAACTTCTAGTTCAAAGTTAACCATCTTCAACAAAGTTTCAAACTAGCATGAAGTCATAAGCCAGGGTTCAAATTCTGGCCTGCGCCTTAATTAGCTCTGTGACCTTGAACAAGTTAACGTAGATTGTTCAGTCTCAAGTTTCCTTTGTGGGAAAAAAAAGTGGGGACAGGGATAATACCTCATAAAGTTGTTGACGATTAAATGAGTATATGAAGTCCCCAATACAGCCCAGGACACAGGATCTCAAATACAACAGAAAACCATAATCGTGTAAAATAACCTAATTTGTATACTTTTCCTAAGTAAAGTCTACATTACCCTTTCCTTATCTCACTTTTTCCCTCCTAAGCAACCTGACCCCTACCCCAAATGCAGGTGTCAGATTCCTAAAAAGTCTGGAGGAAAGCTATGAAAAAATCAAGAGGCATGCATGTTTGTGGAAGAAACCAGCCAACCGGTTTAGAAAAATACTTTCACTGCCAGCTTTATGGTCCAAAATGTAGAGTGAGAAGTGATTACATCTCAGCAAAATTCCCAGTGCGGCGAGGAGTAGGCTGAGATGCAATACCCATAAAGTCCTCTCTGGCTGGGAAAAGAAAAGGGTAGGAACCTTCAGCCTGGGCAGAACCTTCATTCCGTCCCCAGCTGAGGAAATGAGGCGCTTCCACCTTCCGTGCTGCCCCCTGGTGGCGGCAAGAGCAGGCCTGGCATCGGCGCACGCTCTCCCGGGTGTTAGTTTTTGGAGCCAAGTACAAAATCTTTGGGTGGCCCTCCAGCACTGCTGTTCTGTCTGTCTGCGGTCGGGGAGCCAGGGAGGGGCTGCGCTCCCAGGACGGGGCCAGCCTCGGGATCCGGTTTGCTGCGTTTGGCCAGGTCCTCATTGTGAGCCTTGCGGATGTGGCGGTACAGGTCCCCCGACTGCGTGTAGCTGCGCAGGCAGTAGCGGCACTCGTAGGGTCGCTCCCGTGTGTGCACTGTGGCGTGACGACGCAGTGTGTAAGAGCATGAGAAGGTCTTCCCACATGTCTTGCAAGTCGGAACATCCTCAGTAAAACCCCCAAAGCTTCCTGGGGCTGCTTCATACTCAGAAGGCAGGTAGAGCGGCTCATGCATGGCGGATGGAGCAGGCAGGGGCGAGGTCACCAGCCCTCGGTGATACTGCCCTGGACCTGGCAGCAAATGGTAGGGTAGGTGAGGATCTGGCGGCAGGAAGTGGTCACTGGGCCCCACCTCCTCCAGTCCTGCTGCCCGTGGCTCCTCAAAGGCCTCTGGCTGGGGGGGCTGTCCACCATACATGGCTACTCCAGGAGGGAAAAGTCCCTCAGGACCTCGAGGCTGTTCCTCTGACACGTCAGGCTCCTCATCAGAAATCACAATTGCTTCTACTTTCACCTGTACCAGCTCAGCTTCCGCGGGGGCTGGAGCCTCAGATGGAACTGGGACTGCAGCTGAAGGTGGGGGATAGAAGCCTTGCAACGGTCCTCCAGTTGCCCTTGGTTCTGCCGCCCTCAGGCTCTCAGAACCCACAGCAAGGGGAGCCAGTGGCTCCACTGAAACAGTTGCGAGGCCCGCAGAGAAGTAGTTTGCAGGGCTGGTCTCTGTGGAGCTGCTGGGGCTGGCAAGAGAGACATCAGCCACCGGTAGAGGAGGTGCCCGCAGATGCGATGTCTCAACCTCCACACCAGGCTGTGTAGTGTCAGCCCCAGCTGGCATCGGTGGCTCATCTGGAGGACAGACGGGTGAGGGAGCTGCAGAGCCTTTCCATTCTCCTTTGCCCCAGTGCCCTGATGTCTCTGCTGATGCCAGCGAAGGCTGGGAACCACGGGAAGTGCTGGACAAAAACTCCAAATTAGGGGGTTGTGAGTTGGTTTCTTCTTCCTTCTTGGTACTGTCCGCCTCTGCCAGGGCCCGGGCTTGCAGCCGCCGCTTACACACCTTGACAATATCATTCATGTGCAAGTAGCTGGCGGCCGCCAGCACATCCTCCACAGGGGTATCCCCCCTGAGGACCAGCTGGCCAGCATACATAAAGTCCAGAAGCAGTCCAAAGGCCGGGGCTGTGACAATCTCGTTGTGGATACACACCAGATCCCTCTTGTCCAGTTCCCGCTCTTTGTAGAAAAGCTGGAAAAACGGGCTGCAGGAGGCCAGCACAGCCCGATGGGCCAAGAACTGGGTACTACCCACCATCACGGTGCAGTCACAAAGGAAACCCTGGGACCGCTGCTCTCGGAGGCTCTGCAGCAGCTGCTGGCTGTGTTCTGGGAACTCCATAGCACTCCACAAAGGGAAAGGGACCCTAGGAAGATCCTCTCCAGTGGTTCCCTGGGAAGAGAGGAAAGTGGGTTAGGGCAGGTAACCTCCCTATAAACCTTAACGTCAGCTCTGAGCTATTACTTGCCACCCCAAAGCCTCTGGCAGCAGCATCCCGACCCCAAAATGCTCCCTTAAATTACTACCCTTCTTTCTCCCAGGTCACACCCAGTGGTCTACTTTTAGCCCCGCCCCTCGGCCTAACCTTAGCAGCAGGCCCCGCCCCGTCCACAAAGCCCCTCCCCGGAAGTCCCGCCCCTTGGGCAGCCTCCGCTTCCTCGATGCCCACCCGGTAGCTTCCAGCACCTCCTCCAACTGGAGTCTCGACCCCAGGCCTTCTCGGGCGATACCTCTTCGCCCTACTCCGGGAACTCCCTGGGCCTCTCTCGAATTCCAGGGGCTCAGAAGTCCGAGGGTGGGAACTAGCAGAGAAAGCTGACCCTCACCCACCAACGAGCAGCCATCGGGAAAGCTCCGCCCCTTCCCGCCTTCTTAGTTTTAATTGGCTCAAATTTGTCTTCCCTCGTCTCCGATTGGTTCACTCTCTACTAACATTCCCCCGACTCAGGGCAGCGTCTCCAAGTGGGTGCTGGTGGCCGTCGCTCAGGCAGCTAGGCGTCCTATTGGTTAGCGCTCCTGTCCTAAACTTTTCCTTTTCGTCCCGCCTTCTTTGCCTCGGAGCCCTTGAGATTGGCTGAGCTTCTCCATCTACCTGAGGCTGTGGGAGGGCCGGGACCTGTGAGCAGTGGAGCGCGACGCCCTCGGGGCGGGGCGCGAGGCCTGCCACAGCGCAGAGCGTTGTGTCTTAGCGGGCAGCACGCCATCCTGGCTGGTGAGTGTCCGGGCAAGGAGGACCAACAAACTGGTGTGGTACCCGGGAGGTCCGGGTCTTAGACTCGGCTCAGCCGTAACCGTGGGCGATGGCTACACCTCTCTAATCTGCAGTTGTCTCTTGAAGGTCTCTTCCTCCCTCAAAAACTCGAAGATGCCCTACTGCCGTACTCCACGCAGTCTGATAGTTCCAGGCTCCTGGCTAAGCAGTGGTGGTGTCAGAGAACTAGCAGCTGTCTGCATGTAGTGTCCCTAGCCTGAACTCTAGTGAGGAGATGCATGTCCTTATCTGTGTCTGGAGCGTAGTGGGCAGTTGCTGATAGGAGAGGAGAGAGTGGGCTCACGGCCCTAAGATGTCACTGGGCGTGAAAAAGAGCGTGGCTACTTAAGAAATATTCCAAAATTCCTAGAAAACCACAGGAAAGGACTGTAAATTGGGAGTCAGTGATACCTGCCTGTCCTCAGACAGGGACAGTATGTTGACAAGGTTTTTTAGTTACTGAGTCGAGTCTGACTCTTTACAACCCCATGAACTATAGCCCGCCTATAGCTCAATCCTTGAGATTTTCCAGGCAAGAATACTGAAATGGATTGTCATTTCCTTCTCCAAGGTGTCTTCCTGACTCAGGAATCGCACACACATTTCCTGCTTTGGCAGGCAGATTCTTTACCACTGAGCCACCAGGGAAGCTGGCCATTGACAGTGGTAACTGCACAGTGCCCTTCAAACATTATTCACTCTTTGACCTGCCTTACCTAGCATCTCCACTTTGTTTGTAGCCAAGCACTCGAATCAGATCTAAGTAGAATTAGGCACAGTTCCTCTTTCTACCTTCCAGAGACATGCAGGCCACACTGGCCTCAGTTTGAGAGATCACTTCTTCCAGATATTCTTCCAAGTCATACAATATCTATTGTTCAGTTCAGTTCAGTCACTCAGCTGTGTCGGACTCTTTGCGACCTCAGCACGCCAGGCCTCCCTGTACATCACCAACTCCCGGAGTTTACTCAAACCATGTCCATTGAGTCCGTGATGCCGTCCAACCATCTCATCCTCTGTCCCCTTCTCCTCCTGGCTTCAATCTTTCCCTGCATCAGGGTCTTTTCAAATGAGTCAGCTCTTCACATCAGGTGGCCAAAGTATTGGATTTTCAGTTTCAACATCAGTCCTTCCAATGAACACTCAGGACTGATGTCTTTTAGGATGGACTGGTTGGATCTCCTTGCAGTCCAAGGGACTCTCAAGAGTCTTCTCCAACACCACAGATCAAAAGCATCAATTCTTCAGCACTCAGCTTTCTTTATATTCCAACTCTCACATCCGTACGTGACAACTGGAAAAACCATAGCTTTGACTACACAGAAATTTGTTGGCAAAGTAATGTCTCTGCTTTTTAATGTACTATCTAGGTTGGTCATAACTTTCATTCCAAGGAGTAAGCGTCTTTTAATTTCATGGCTGCAGTCACCATCTGCAGTGATTTTGGAGCCCAAAAAAATAAAGTCTGACACTGTTTCCCCATCTATTTGCCATGAAGTGATGGAACCAAATGCCATGATCTTAGTTTTCTGAGTGTTGAGCTTTAAGCGAACTTTTTCACTCTCCTCTTTCACTTTCATCAAGAGGCTCTTTAGTTCTTCTTCTTCACTTTCTGCCATAAGTGTGGTGTCATCTACATATCTGAGGTTATTCATATTCTCCCAGCAATCTTGATTCCAGCTTGTGCTTCTTCCAGCCCAGCGTTTCTCATGATGTACTCTGCATGTAAGTTAAATAAGCAGGGTGACAATATACAGCCTTGACGTACTCCTTTTCCTATTTGGAACCAGTCTGTTGTTGCATGTACAGTTCTAACTGTTGCTTCTTAACCTGCACACAGGTTTCTCAAGAGGCAGGTCAGCTGGTCTAGTATTCCCATTTCTTTCAGAATTTTCCACAGATTATTGTGATCCACACAGTCGAAGCCTTTGGCATAGTCAATACAGCAGAAATAGACGTTTTTCTGGAACTCTCTTGCTTTTTCAATGACCCAGCGGATGTTGGCAATTTGATCTCTAGTTCCTCTGCCTTTTCTAAAACCAGCTTGAACATCTGGAAGTTCATGGTTCACGTATTGCTGAAGCTTGGCTTGGAGAGTTTTGAGCATTACTTTCCTAGCATGTGAGATGAAGGCAATTGTGTAGTAGTTTAAGCATTCTTTGGGATTGCCTTTCTTAGGGATTGAAATGAAAACTGACCTTTTCCAGTCCTGTGGCTACTGCTGAGTTTTCCAAACTTGCTGGCATATTGAGTGCAGCACTTTCCCAGCATCATCTTTTAGGATTTGAAACAGCTCAACTGGAATTCCATCACCTCTGCTAGCTTTGTTTGTGGTGATGCTTCCTAAAGCCCACTTGACTTCACATTCTAGGATGTCTGGCTCTAGGTGAGTGATCACACCATTGTGATTATCTGGGTCATGAAGATCTTTTTTGTACAGTTCCTCTGTGTATTCTTGCCACCTCTTCTTACTATCTTCTGCTTCTGTTAGGTCCATACCATTTCTGTCCTTTATTGAGCCCATCTTTGCCTGAAATGTTCCCTTGGTATCTCTAATTTTCTTGAAGAGATCACTAGTCTTTCCCATTCTATTGTTTTCCTCTATTCCTTTGCACTGATCACTGAGGAAGGCTTTCTTATCTCTCCTTGCTGTTCTTTGGAACTCTGCATTCAAATGGGTATATCTTTCCTTTTCTCCTTTACTTTTCGCTTCTCTTCTTTTCACAGCTGTTTGTAAGGCCTCCTCAGATAGCCATTTTGCTTTTTTACATTTCTTTTTCTTGGGGATGGTCTTGATCCCTGTCTCCTGTACAATATCAGGAACCTCCGTCCATAGTCTATCAGGCACTCTGTCTATTTGATCTAGTCCCTTAAGTCTATTTCTCACTTCCAATGTATAATCATAAAGGATTTGATTTAGGTCATACCTGGATGATCTAATGGTTTTCCCTACTTTCTTCAATTTAAGTCTGAATTTGGCAATAAGGAGTTCATGATCTGAGCCACAGTCAGCTCCCAGTCTTGTTTTTGCTGACTCTATAGAGCTTCTCCATTTTTGGCTGCAAAGAATATAATCAGTATGATTTCGGTATTGACCATCTGGTGATATTCATGTGTAGAGTCTTCTCTTGTGTTGTTGGAAGAGTGTGTTTGAATGCCTTCTCTTGGCAAAACTCTGTTAGCCTTTGCCCTGCTTCATTCTGTACTCCAAGCCAAATTTGCCTGTTACTCCAGGTATTTCTTGACTTCCTACTTTTGCATTCCAGTCCCCCATAATGAAAAGGACATCTTTTCTGGGTGTTAGTTCTAGAAGGTCTTGTAGGTCTGCATAGAACCATTCAACTTCAGCTTCTTCAGCATTACTGGTAGGGGCATAGACTTGGATTACTGTGATTTTGAATGGTTTGCCTTGGAAATGAACAGAAATCTTTCTGTTGTTTTTGAGATTGCATCCAAGTACTACATTTCAGACTCTTTTGTTGACTATGATGGCTACTCCATTTCTTCTAAGGGATTTTTGCCCACCGTACTAGATATAATGGTCATCTGAGTTAAATTCACCATTCCAGTCCATTTTAGTTCGCTGATTCCTAAAATGTCAATGTTCACTCTTGCCATCTCCTGTTTGACCACCTCCAATTTGCCTTGATTCATGGACCTAACATTCCAGGTTCCTATGCAATATTGCCGTTTACAGCATCAGACTTTACTTCCATCACCAGTCACATCCAGAACTGGGTGTTGTTTTTGCTTTGGCTCCATCTCTTCATTCTTTCTGGAGTTAGTTCTCCACTGATCTCCAGTAGCATGTTGGGCACCTACAAACCTGGGGAGTTCATCTTTCAGTGTTATATCTTTTTGCCTTTTCATACTGTTCATGGGGTTCTCAAAGCAAGAATACTGAAGTGGTTTGCCATTTCTCTCTCCAGTGGACCACATTTTGTCAGAACTCTCCACCATGACCCGTCCATCTTGGTTTGACCTACATGGCGTGGCTCATAGTTTCATTGAGTTAGTCAAGGCTGTGGTCCACGTGATCAGATTGGTTAGTTTTCTGTGATTGTGGTCTTCATTCTCTCTGCCTTCTGAT